GTGGGTTCGAATCCCGGTTCGCCCCGAATGTGTTTGTAGGTTTGTCAGTACCATGCCCGTGCTCGTGGGTTTCACCGAAGTAGTAAACGTCTAAGACCTGCATCACGTCGGGCTTTCCTCCCACATTAAGCTGACACGCCGTGATATAACTGGAATACTGTTAAAAGCGGCGTTAAACACAACTCACTCGCTCACTCACTCACTACTGTCTTTCAGTCCTAAAAGTTTCCCTCCAGAATATGGACCGTCTCCGTGGTTTAGTGGTAGAGCGTCCGCCCGGACAGCGGAAGGTCCGGGGTTCGATGCCCGGCCGCGTCATACCAAAAGACGTTAAAAGATGGTACTTATTGTTACCCTGTCTTGCGCTCGGCATTAATGGGCTAAAACAAGGACTTGTCGGCTCGGAGTCAGTATACTGTGTCTGGGTGGGGTATTCATGTTAAACTGCGGCATGGTATCTCAGTGTGCTAACACTATAAATCGGCATCAGACCGGATTAGTACAAGCAGACACACACACACACACACACACACCTGTGCATGCACGTCGCTATATAAGTGCAATAATCTTGGACGCGACGTTAAACCCCATTTCACCTCACGTCACCTCAAGATGAGCTGTGGTAGGGCGGTGAGGAGCCTGTACTCAACACTGAGCATGTTTTCTGTGGAGGTCAACACTGGGTATTTTCTGGGTTTTGAGTTTAGGTGCAGTGCGTGGGATTCAACGTGGTTTACAAAGTTTACTGACACGCCAGTCCTGGTTTTGTCCTCTTAATGCCGGGCGCCAGGCAAGGTAACAATACGTACCATCTCTTAACGTCTTTTGATATGACGCGGCCAAGAAATCGAACCACCGACCTTCTCCGTCCGGACCCTCTATCCACTAGGCCACAAATACGTTACATTGGACGCTGGCGGTGAGAATAAATGGCCCCGTGCGCCAGTTCCCGACCTTGACTCAAGTACCCGACGATAGTACGCCACGCTTATTTGTGCACGAGTATTGGAGAGGTGAACATGTGGATTATCTCGCCTGGTCGGGCACGGCCCAAGCTCCTTCCCAGCGCGTGACACCCTCGTTACACTCTCGGTAACATCGCTGCCACCAGTGTGGGCGCGGCCATTACAAGAATCTTGAAATTTGCCCTCTAACCCCATATGTAGTATCGTTTATTACTTTTATTTATGTCTTTGGGAATGTCATCATATTTCATTTTGAAAAGGTTTATGACTGACCATGTTTTCCAGATGAATTTACTTTGTTGTTTTAATAATCAGATTGGTTCGAGATTGCAGATTAACGGAAAATCAACCAGCTTCTCCCTTACATTCTTACGATATCAATTAAAGATGATACTTTTATTGAAATAGAAATTCAAATTGACAAACAAAGAAAGTAATTTATCAGCGGTAAGTGTATTCGGCGTGACGACAGTCGTCACTTGTTTGTAAACATAACGGTCATTCGGTTGCGAGTTCAACTCCAAGCATGGTTGGGGCCACCTATCACAGTGGGGAGTTTTGACTTGTGGCAGCGATAGTTTAGAGAGCTCCGCCAACGGACTATCGCTGTGAGGAGCTTGGGCACGGCCCAGTCGTCTGAAGCGCCGCGAATCGCTGTGCGGAGTTGCGTCCCTTGGGCACGCCAGAAACCTATGGTTGCGGGTTCGAATCCCGGTTCGCCCCGATTATGTTTCTAGGTTTGTCAGCACCATACCCGTGCTCATGGGTTTCACGGAATGTGTAAACGTCTGAGACCTGCATCATTTCGGGCTTTCCTCCGAAATTAAAGCTGACACGCCGTGATATAACTGGAATACTGTTAAAAGTGGCGTTCAAACCAACTCACTCACACACTCATCCCCCTGGTCGAATTCAATCGTCCTTCAAACACGACATATGCGCCAGCATTCGGATATCGTCTGGACCCTATATCTAAATATCACTGAAATTCTAAAACTGCTTAACACAGTCCTTGATAATGCTAAAAGTACATGGCCTACTGAAAATGATGTAGTGTATAGTACAGATGCCACCAGATGGAGTGTCAGCAATAACTATAGCAAGGTAGACACGCGGGATGCGGGGACTGTGTCAAGGCTAAACTCATCAGCGGCTAAAATAGCATGTCCCTGAACACACGGGACGCCTGACAGGGGATGTAGCGACGTCAGATATGACCAACATGCTCCGTGATTTAGTAACTGATGGAAATAGATATACGAGGGACGTTCAATAAGTTTTGCAACTTCAATATGAGACAAAGTCGCAGAATATCTTTTGCACTTTTATTTTTCAATATAATCTCCATTCACCTCAATACACTTATTCCATTTGTCCTTCAAGCTTTTGATACCACTTTTGTAGAAATCCGCAGATCCCTCTAACCACGCCTCTGTGGCAGCCTTTATGCCCTCGTCATCCTGGAAGCGTCTTCCATGTAGGGCTGATTTCATTTGCCGGAACAGGAAATAGTCACTGGGGGCTAAGTCTGGGCTGTAGGGTGGGTGCTTTAACTGTACAGCCAAGACTAAGCCCCAAGTGACTATTCTTGTTCCGGCAAATGAAACCTGCCCTACGTGGAAGACGCTTCCAGGATGCTTATTGAACCCCCTTGTATGTGGCGTATTAAGTAAGGTGAAGTCAACTTTTATTTTGCTTTCAAGACCATTATGACCTATTATGCATGTACAGGGAAATATTTATACATGTAGTTTTGAATTAAATATCATATAATGTTATACATTTTCTCTTGAGTGGAGTATTGAATACACACATTTTGATATTGCTAACATCACTTCCTATTTTCTCAGTAATGTATTTAAATGTATGGATCATAGGGTGGGAAACCAAATACACCACCGGGCAAACAAAACTTTACACCCATAAAAATACCAGGCCAAAAATGACACAGAAGATATGGTCATTCGATAGTAATGTATTTGATACAGGTGTCATAGTGTTTTTTGACCTTACGTTTGCAGTGTTTCAGCGACTCTTTTCAGCCTTGTAGCGTTTTGAGTGAGTGAGTGAGTATGGTTCCACGCCGCTTTTATCAATATTCCAGCAATATCACGGCGGGGGACACCATAAATGGGCTTTACACTTGTAGCGTTTTGAAACCGTTGTTTCTCACATGTACACTTACTTTTGTCCGGCAGTTTGGTACATGGTTTTCAGTCTCAGGTACTGAACATATTGGGCTGCTGAATCGTTGAAAGTTAAACAGTTTCTTTACGTGCACATATTTCAATTCTTATATCTATGTTTTGAAAAGCTTAACATCTAAAGGGACCGCCTCAGTGGTCTAGTGGTAGAGCGTCCGCCCGGAGAGCGGAAGGTCTGGGGTTCGATCCCCGGCAGCGTTTGTAATTTAGCTTATTTGAACCCGTGTCGAGGGTTTGTATAATCCTTGTGGGGTACAGGTGGCTATGTCGTCTAAAGCCCTGTTATTGATCAATTATTAATCATTGAAGGTCATAGGCCCACATATAAAAACAAGTATGGAAGGGGTATTGTTTATAAAACACTTTGTTCTTTCATAAGCATGATACATAAACATGTATTATGATTTGATTTTTTCATGGACGTTCGTGGCAACAATCATTTTAAATATAGGCATATTCACACTAGTGGTGGTAAAGGTTCATGGACGTTCTTGGCATCAATCATTTTAAATATAGGCATATTCACACTAGTGGTGGTAAAGGTTCATGGACGTTCTTGGCAACAATCATTTTAAATATAGGCATATTCACATTAGTGGTGGTAAAGGTTCATGGACGTTCGTGGCAACAATCATTTTAAATATAGGCATATTCACATTAGTGGTGGTAAAGGTTCATGGACGTTCGTGGCAACAATCATTTTAAATATAGGCATATTCACATTAGTGGTGGTAAAGGTGCATGGACGTTCGTGGCAACAATCATTTTAAATATAGGCATCTTCACATTAGTGGTGGTAAAGGTTCATGGACGTTCTTGGCAACAATCATTTTAAATATAGGCATATTCACATTAGTGGTGGTAAAGGTTCATGGACGTTCGTGGCAACAATCATTTTAAATATAGGCATATTCACATTAGTGGTGGTAAAGGTTCATGGACGTTCGTGGCAACAATCATTTTAAATATAGGCATATTCACATTAGTGGTGGTAAAGGTTCATGGACGTTCTTGGCAACAATCATTTTAAATGTAGGCATATTCACATTAGTGATGGTAAATATTTAATTCTACTTGCCAAAAGTAGCACATACAAGTAAAAAATGATATTCATCCTCTAAATCTAGATCACATAAAGGTCAGTTTTTTGCCTGTACAGAATGTATCACACACAAAAATAAAAATAAGCACACAGACTATACATTTTTAAACTGCATTGTCCCCAATAGTCAGAGGCTTTTTAAAGTGAAAATTATCTTGTGATGCGAAGCTTTTAAAAACCAAATAAACGACAGGAAGCCATATTTTGGGGCTAAAGTCAAACCCACTTTTAAACATTTTTTGTGTCTGTCAAAATACTATAATGTTTTGGGTAACACTTTCTTAGTATAGTACAGATGCTAGTTTCTGCTAGCCTCACTCTGGGAGTGTGGTTTCGAATCTCGGATGGGTCTCAACCCCCCAAAAGTACTAGAATCTGTATTTTACTTATAAAGTGTTGCCGAAATATAATATTTATTACATTTGATCACTTTCTAAATGACATTGTGTATGCTATCTAAATTCTTTTCCATTTACACTGGAATCAGATAAGTTGACTTCGCATCGACCAATAAAGACGAAAGTGTGGAACAAACGTGTTCAAAAGTAGGTTAATTGACTCATGATGTTGAATTTAGGACAAGTCTCTACATTCGAAGCCTGTGTGTCCACGTCATATCATATTGCCTGTGATAGTGTAAACAAATTAGTCGCTGACCAGTGGATTAATGTATGGGAGAGGCGATTGGCCGATATTTAATTTGATTCTGTCATATCGGCCTGATCAAGCAATTTCAGGGCCTATAAATGTAGGATTTCAATAGCGTATCATCCAGCTCGTATCTCACGGTACAACCAACCACAGCATCAGCGTATACAGCGGACAAGGTAATATATATGTTAGCAGGAGTAGCTCTTGGATGTGTGATGTATTGATACATTGTATACATTGTAAGATCTCTCTCTCTCTCTCTCTCTCTCTCTCTCTCTCTCTCTCTGTGTCTCCTCTGTACTGTCTGTCTCCCTCTCACTCTCTCTCTCTTTCTCTCGCTTTCTCTCACCTGTCTGTCTGTCTGTCTTTCTACCTCTCTTTCCCCATCTCGCCTATCTGTTGTCTGTCTCTCTACCTCTCTTTCCCTATCTCGCCTCTCTGTTGTCTGCCTGTCTCTCTACCTCTCTTTCTCTCTCTCGCCTGTCTGTTCCCTGTCTGTCTGTCTCTCTACCTCTCTTTCTCTCTCTCGCCTGTCTGTTCCCTGTCTGTCTGTCTTTCTACCTCTCTTTCCCCATCTCGCCTATCTGTTGTCTGTCTCTCTACCTCTCTTTCCCTATCTCGCCTCTCTGTTGTCTGTCTGTCTCTCTCTCTATCTCTCTTTCTCTCGCCTGTCTGTTGTCTGCCTGTCTCTCTACCTCTCTTTCTCTTGCCTGTCTGTTGTCTATCTGTCTGTCTCTCTACCTCTCTTTCTCTTGGCTGTCTGTTGTCTGTCTGTCTGTCTCTCTACCTCTCTTTCTCTTGGCTATCTGTTGTCTATCTGTCTGTCTCTCTACCTCTCTTTTTCTTGCCTGTCTGTTGTCTGTCTGTCTCTCTACCTCTCTTTCTCTTGCCTATCTGTTGTCTGTCTGTCTCTCTACCTCTCTTTCTCTCTCTCGCCTGTCTGTTCTCAGTCTGTCTCTCTACCTGTCTCTCTCCCTCTCCCTCTTTCTCACTCTCTCCCTTTGTCTGTACTGTTTCTTTCTGTCTGTCTCTCTCTCTCACTCACCCTCTCTCTCTCACGCAATCTGTTTGTACTCTGTCTTTCTGTCTCTTCATCTCTTTTTCTCTCGCTCACACCCCTCTTTATGCACTCTCTCTGTGTCTCTCTGTCTCGATCTCTGTTTCTTTGCCTGCCTCTGCCTTTCTGTCTGTCTGTCTCTCTCTGTGCCTGATTGTCTGTCTGTCTGTCTATATGAACATCGTATGTACATAAGAGTGAGTGAGTGAGTATTTTACGCCGCTTTTAGCAATGTTCCGCCAATATCACTCCGTGAGACACCGGAAATGGACTTCACACATTGTACCCATGTCGGGAATCGACCCCGGGTCTTCGGCGTGACGAACGAACGCTTTAACCACTAAGCTAACCGACCGCCCCATGTACATAAGAAGAGAGTATTTCAAGTGATATTTCGTAGCATATCCATTTAACATTTAATAAACTATATTGAAACTTAACACGGGTACAGTTTGTGAACATACTGTTGTGTCCCCCGCTTTGCATACCCCCCACACCCCCTTGGCACTGCTGTAATATTAACGACCTTACTCACACAACCAACACATCACTGACCATCGCATTTATCATATATACAATGAGATTGTGTTTCTGCAGTTTCAGTATGGCTCGAGCCCCTTCAGTCTGGATGCATTTCAAAGATGCGTTCCCTGGAGACATCATTCGCAACGAGATTCTTGTTCCTAAAGATGGTTTTGTACTTGATACTTACTACTGCACCATGAGCTGGAATGGCGGGATGGAAGGTGGAGGCTATTGTGGTCTTCAGGATCACCCGAAGGGAAAAGCGTTCATCTACTCAATTTGGGACCCAAAACAAACCAAGTCCATTCCTATCAAAGCAGCCTACAAGGGACTGTGGACCGAGGTGGCCAATTTTGGTGGAGAGGGAACTGGACTCCGATCCTTAAACTTCTCCATTGGTTGGAAGCCGGATCAGTGGTATACCCTGGTGTCCAGAGTGTGGGACGTCAATGGCCATACCTTCTTTGGCTTCTGGATCCATGACCAGACCGATCACCACTGGTCACACATGATCACCATGGATTTCCCCGTGAAGCAGGTCAGGTTCAATTCTGACACGAGCCTTTTCCTAGAAGACTGGGCGGGGACTGGACAGAACGCGCGCAAAGGTCACTACCGTCAGGGTTTCAAGAGGAAAGTCGACGGCAGCTGGTTCCCCTTCACAAAGACGAGTTTCAGTGTCGTCGTTGAATCATCCACTCACAACCACGCCAACAACTATGACGCTGGGGTGGAGAAGGACTATTTGTACATGGCTAGCGGAGGTCAGGTCCATACGTCGCCAGGAATCGGACTTCACGCCAATTTAGAACTACCAAGTCATCATGCTTCCCCTCCTGATCCTCCGATCAGCTTCAGCATCACCAAGGCAAAGCCAGATGTCGTGGAGTGGCAGGTCCTAGCGTCGTCCACGCCGCAGTTTCACTACAGCATTGTCCGGAACGGCACACAGATTGCATCGGGGACTGACACGGAGAGGAGAAGTCACCCAATACATGGAGCTCGAGCTGGGGACACCCTTGAGATTCACCTTGAGGACATCCTGGGTAAGACATCCACCAAGTCTGTGAAGATCTCGGCTTAGACAGGCATGCTTGGGACCACATTGGGGACAGTTTTGGGAAGACATCCACCAAGCCTGTGAAGATATCGGCTTAGACAGGCATGCTTGGGACCACATTGGGGACAGTTTTGGGAAGACATCCACCAAGTCTGTGAAGAGCTCGGCTTAGACAGGCATGCTTGGGACCACATTGGGGACAGTTTGGGGAAGGCATCCACCAAGTCTGTGAAGATCTCGGCATAGACAGGTATGCTTGGGACCACATTGGGGACAGTTTGGGGAAGACATCCACCAAGTCTGTGAAGATCTCGGCTTAGACAGGTATGCTTGGGACCACATTGGGGACAGTTTGGGGAAGACATCCACCAAGTCTGTGAAGATCTCGGCATAGACAGGTATGCTTGGGACCACATTGGGGACAGTTTGGGGAAGACATCCACCAAGTCTGTGAAGATCTCGGCTTAGACAGGTATGCTTGGGACCACATTGGGGACAGTTTGGGGAAGACATCCACCAAGTCTGTGAAGATCTCGGCATAGACAGGTATGCTTGGGACCACATTGGGGACAATTTGGGGAGGACATCTACCAGGTATGTTCAGAACGAGTCCTAAACACGCTTCACATTGAGGACATCTTGGATGACATCGAGCAAGACTGTGAAAATCTCAAACAGGTTCTATTAACTACCAATGATTTCTTAATTATGCATTGATATCCTTCATGACTTGGACATGTATCTTAATTGTATCCTTATAGTTTCATGTAACTCCATTCCTTTGTTTCAACGTTGTTGCTTAGATTAGTATATATACTATTTAAATGGGTAAAGATAATTTAGACCATCATCACCTCCCTAAAACTTCTGCTTCAAAATGAATAGCTTGAACTGTGATCAAATATCATATTTTATATATTGTGTATGGTCTGTGATCTGAAGTGTATCGACTCATAATAATATATGTAATAAGAAAGTCATTGTATACACATGATAAAACTAATTGTTTGATTATGAAGATTGTGTATAAAATATTAATAACACAATGACATGTAGTGAATATATGTAAGCAGTATTATACATTTACGTTTGAATAAAAACTACCTTTATTGATAGTAATTGAATGCACGTTAATTGAAATATTATTGACAGAAATGAGGCAATAGTTAAATATTGATAATGTTGCAAGCACGATGTTTGATTTCGACTAATAGAATCTTTAATAAAATAGATAGAAATACCATGTAAAAATATTGTTAAATAATGAAAATATAAGTTTAAAACATGTCGATGACCATCGCGATACGGAGGAAGGTAACCTTTGTGTTTATAAATTCCATATATATCTTTCGGATGATTCCATTCAAATGTTGTTGTTTTTCCATACTTACGAAGCCACATGCCCTGGGGTCAGACCATCTGATATTGTGTGGGTGGCTGGGAAGGGGGGTAGGGGCTGGGCTGGTATTTCATCGAAAGAAATTGTTCAAAAAGATGTTTGAAAAAAGTTATTATGCTTCAGACTATTAAAAAAAAGAAATTGTCTGCCACAAAATTGACGTTGTGATTTAAAAAATAAATATTTAGGCTCAAAGTTATTATTAAAAAATATATGTTTTTGCATCTGTAGCGGAAAAAGAATGTTTCTTTACATTAATGCATTAGAACGTTTTAAATTCTGTTTTAATCTACACAATATTCAGATAGTATTTATATGGTACAGCATGTACTTAATTCTTAGTTGAAAATAGAAAGGACATACCAGGAGAACATGATACTCATATTCAAAAACTAATAAGGTTACACAGTGAACAATGGGGTTATTCCATCTTAAACATTTAATGAATGTCTCCTATCTCAATTCCGACTTCTTTGTTTTCGCCGCCACAGAATATTCCTTCTAAAGATATACCAATACACATGTTCAGCTGCACGTTCATCATGTTGTATCTATAGTGTTCAGGATATGTTTGTTACCCTTTTTTATATAATCATTATGTACAATTACTTTCTTTTAATAAAAAGCTCAATTAATTGCATTGTGTTTCCATTCTGTAAATGTAAGAGTGAGTGAGTGAGTGAGTGGGTATGGTTTTACGCCGCTTTCAGCAATGTCCCAGCAATATATCGTCGGGGGACAGCAGAAATAGGCTTCACACATTGCACCCATGTGGGGAATCGAATCCGGGCCTTCGGCGTGACGAGCGAACGCTTTACCCGCTTGGCTACCACACCGTCCCTGTAAATATAGCCGATATTATAATATCTTATCGATGACATACTTGTCTTGATGCTTCGTCCCTTGCTACTCCCTGTGGGGGGTCAGGTTGCCATGTCCCATAAGGCGCAACAATTGGCTATGCAGATTTGCTTCCCTCAGCCGAGCCAGGATCGGCTTGTTAGGGTCAAATCCAAAATAAAATCCCGTGAGGTTGAGTTTGACCAAAGTGTTCAAAGCGGTGTTATATCCAGCTGACTCCACCACTCCTGCTTATGTGTGTGTGTGTGTGTGTGTGTGTGTGTGTGTGTGTGTGTGTGTGTGTGTGTGTGTGTGTGTGTGTGTGTGTGTGTGAGACACAAGCTCCTCCAGGATCTTTCGGAGCCGCTCAGCGTAGCCGTGTGTACGGTGGACAGTGCTGCGTCCAGCTGGCAATACTTTCGTATTATTGTGTTACATGTGTCATCAAAGGGATGTGTGGTATTTTACGAGCTGAATGCGTCTGTACAGGCAGGGCGTGGCCGAGGATTATATCGGAGCACAGGAATCATCACTATCACTGACATTGAAACTACTACTACTACTACTACTACTACTACTACTACTACTACTACTACTACTACTACTTCTACTACTACTACTACTACTACTACTATAACTAACACCAACACCAACACCAATACCAACACTAACACTAACACTAACACTAACACTAACCTGACACTGACACCAACACTAACACTAACCTGACACTGACACCAACACTAACACTAACCTGACACTGACACCAACACTAACACTAACCTGACACTGACACCAACACTAACACTAACCTGACACTGACACCAACACTGACACTAACACTTATACTAACACTACTACTACCACCATCACAAACACCAACACTAACACTAACACTGACAATACTACCATCACTAACACCAACACTAACACAAACACTTTTACTGACACTACTACTAATACATCACTAACACCAACAGTAACGCTGACACTTATACCAACACCACTACTACCATCACTAACACCAACACCAACACCAACACTTCTACTAACACTACTACTGTCATCACTAACACAAACACTAACACCAACAGTAACACTAACACCAACACTGACACAAACACTACCATCAACTCTTAAACTACCACTACCACTACTACTACCATCACTAACACCAACACTAACACCAACAGTAACACTAACACCAACACTGACACAAGCACTAACACCAACTCTTATACTAACACTACCAGTACTACTACCATCACTAACACCAACACTAACACTAACACTAACACCAACACCAACACTAACACTAACACTAACACTAACACTAACACAAACACTTTTACTGACACTACTACTAATACATCACTTACACCAACAGTAACGCTGACACTTATACCAACACCACTACTACCATCACTAACACCAACACCAACACTTCTACTAACACTACTACTGTCATCACTAACACCAACAGTAACACTAACACCAACACTGACACAAACACTACCATCAACTCTTATACTAACACGACTACTACTACTACCATCACTAACACCAACACTAACACTTATACTAACACTACTACTACCACCATCCCTAACACCAACACCAACACCACCACTACTACTACTACTACTACTACTACTACTGGTGATGGTGTCGTAGCCTAGTGGTTAAAGCGTTCGCTCGTCACGCCGAAGACCCGGGTCCGATTCCCGACATGGGTACAAAGTGTGAAACCCATTTCTGCTGTCCCCCGCCGTGATATTGTTAGTACATGTATATTGCTAAAAGATGCGTAAAACCATATTCACACACCACTCACTGAGGGAATATATCAAGTATAAACATTAGTCACATGCATGGGAAAATGTGAAAGTAAAAGGTCAACGTAATTGTACCCTTACATGTGTTTATCTATTTAAACACACGTGAATGTATGTTTTATATGTTTCAAGAACTCGCATCTTATCTATCCGCCCAAGACGATTTCCAGTTAGCCTAGGCACCGCGGTATGGGGCAATTGGTGAGCAGTCGCTCCACACCGTCATGTCGCCTAGGCCGATGATGGCAGGGGTAGCTGTGTGCTTTATGGGGGTCGTGCTGGGGGTGGCAGGCAAGGGGATGCTCTATCCCCGGGAGTCTGAGAGTAGAAACATGAAGAACCTGGACGGGATGTGGAACTTCCGCGCCGATGCGTCACCCTCCAGGAACCAAGGGTTTGAACAACAGTGGTTCAAGTCGCCTTTGTCTCAGGTTAGTCCTCGACTGAAACACACTCTAGTTTGTACAGTTCAAACGCATGGCAATAAACATGAACTGATTGTATCAATGGGATATCACTGCAATTCTTTTTCCAACCTATCATTCACCATATTGAGACTTCAGTTTAACCCCATTAATAAGGACTTAATTAATCCAGACGATGCGATGTCAATTTTTAATTAACTCACTCGTTAATCCTGACGACCTTGTATGAAAATTCAACCTACCGCAATCGACGTAATAAGCGCCCCGCTATAATAAGCGCCCACGGCGATATTCTAAGATGTTGGCCAGTGAACAATCTCAATTAGCACCCCTTCCGATTATTCAATGTACACAAGTCTTATTTATTCGCGTATAATACGCACTCATGTGTTATGTGCATACTTAATTAAGGGCAATTAAATTCTGGAAAAATATGTCTGTCGTACATAAACATTTCAGGCTGTCAGCATAAACCACGATATTTATCTTTCCACTCTGCTTTTTTCACTAAAATATGTTCCAAAAAGCCCCCTATTTCTAATTTTGAGAGCGCCCTGGGCGCTTACTACGTCGAATGTGAAGGACGTTTTCCGGAGCAATGATTCATAATTTGGAAGTTGTCGAAACCGGACAATTTTGCTGGAAACAGTTTCGTCCGGATTAGCGAGATTTAAGTGTATAAAGGGATATTAATCGACTACAATAGGAGACAATCGGATGTAGGTGAAGAAGTGATATAACGACCAAGTGTTTTGAACATGAACATGTTCATGTTAGAAATTCATACGAGATAAAAGGGAATGGTTATGAAAGGCACCACTGTGCCCTGATACCGAGTTTACATGCTATTCCTAGTTTTATATGATACCATGAAGCGACTTGAATGAGGGGCGGTCGTTAGCCTAGTGGTTTAAGAGTTCGCTCGTCACGCCGAAGACCCGGGTTCGATTCCCGACATGGTTACAATCTGTGAAGCCCATTTCTGGTGTCCCCCGCCGTGATATTGCTGGAATATTGGTAACAGCGGCTCAAAACCATACTCACTCACTCACTTGAATGATTAATCATTTATTTAACAATTTGACAATATCTATCTACATCCAATCCTCGATTACTTGGTAACATGGGCACACATCTACGAAGCCATCAATGTGTCAAAACCAATATCAGTAAAATTTAAATATAATCTGCGCTGTAATCATTTACGTTAAAGAGTGATTGTTTGTTTTATTTAACGCCACACGCAGCAATAGTTCAGCTATATGACAGCGGTCTGTAGATAATCGAGTCTGGACCACACAATCCAGTGATTGACATCATGAGCATTGATCTTGGCAACTGGGATACGATGACATACATCAACTACGTCAGCGAGCCTGACCACCCGATCTCGTTAGTCGCCTCTTACGACAAGCATAGCTGCTGCTGAGTGGTTGCTATAGGTAGGCGACTGAATAATATTTTGTGCCGCAGTGAGCAATATACAAGTTAAGTCACAGCGGCCAGTAAATAATCGAATCTGGCTCCAGGCATACAAGTGACATCAACAACGGCATCAACAACGAACTACGCCGTTGTGGACTACGGCACACAACCAGCTAGCTAGGTCACATCAGGGTCCTCATTAACTGTGCCTGACACCCAGATGCAAGGGTACTGGAGAACTGCATGTGGGGGTCAGGCCCAGGTAATGAACACCAGGATGTGACCTATCTAGCTGGTTGTGTGTCGTAGCGTCACAACGGTGTGGTTCGTTGTTGATGCATGCAAGGGTACTGAAGAACTGGACCCGTGAAGATCCGGGGTATAATAGGTCTCCAGCAACCCTGCTTGCCATTAAAGACGACTATGTTTGTCGTAAGAGGCGACTAACGGGATCGGGTGGTCAGGATCGTTGACTTGGTCTATGCATGTCATCGCATTCCAGTTGCGTAGATCGATGCTCATGATGTCAATCCCTGGATAGTCTGGTTCAGACTCGATTATTTACAGACCGCTGTCATATAGCTGGAATATTGCTGAGTGTGGCGTTAAACAACACACAAACGTGGGTGCGCGAAGATGTCTCACACCCTAATGGGCCGTCCCTTGTTCTTGGTAGGCTAGCTATGTATTCCTTATCAAATCTATTTCATCGCAACTTAAATCTTGTGCTTCTAGCCATCACCGGAACGCTCCCCCACACTTCAGTTGGTTATGATCACGTGATGGGGCTTATGATACAACTGGAGGTCAAACGAATTATGACGACCATTAGATATAAAATGAAATACGGTGGCTATGGGGTGGATACACATGCGTGATTATTAACTGACCTGTGAAGATCCGGGCAACCCAGTCCTGCCGTAAAAGGCGACTATGCTTGTCGTAACAGGCGACTAACGGGATCAGGTGGTCAGGCTCGCTGACTTGGTTGATGCATGTCATTGTATCCCAATAGAGTAGATCGATGCTCATGATGTCAATCACTGGATTGTCTGGTCCAGACTCCATTATTTACAGACCGCTGTCATATAGATGGAATATTGCTGAGTGCGGCGTTAAACAACAAACAAACAAATAAACAACAAACAAACAACACAAAGAAAGTGAAATAGGAAATTGTGACATCCCTAATAAACATGGAAACAGAAACAAATAATAAATAATGTTCTTATTACGGATCATTTCATTCTCAATTGTTTATTTGAAGCAAATTTGTATACTGGAGGTGATATAAAAAAGTCCCTACTTTATGGAGTGAGTGAGTGAGTTGGGTTTAACGCCGCTTTTAACATTATTACAGTTATATCACGGCGTGTCAGCTTAATGTGGGAGAAAAAAAGCCCGAAGTGATGCAAGTTTAAGACGTTTACCACTTCGGTGAAACCCACGAGCACGGGTATGGTGCTGGCAAACCTTGAAACATAATCGGGGCGAACCGGGATTCGAACCCACAATCATATGTTTCTGGCGTTCCCAAGGGACGCAACTCTGCACAGCGAATCGCGGCGCCTTAGACGACTGGGCCACCCGTGCCCCCCCCCCCCCCCCCCCCCCAAAAAAAAAAAAACAACAACAACAAAAAAACAACAACAAAACGGCCGAGATTCTCTTTGTAGAGGTGTACTAGGATACAATGGTCATGGTTTCCAATGCCTTTGTTCATCCCCCACATTAATCTGTCACACCGTTATATAACTGAAGTACGAACCAAAGTGACGTTAAACTCACTCACTCACTCACTCAAAGCCTAGAAAATAGAACCCATTAATATTTCAATCAACTAACACACAAACAAAGCCATATGAAGTAGTGTTTTCACAATGCTTCCTGAAAATCCAACAAGCCTTACTGATGCGGTAGTTCCCATGTCATATATTGAGACAGGGCCTGTGATCCCGATGCCCGTCCCATCCAGCTTCAACGACATCACCCAGGAGAAGGCGTTGAGGGACTACGTAGGCTGGGTGTGGTACGACAAAGAGTTCTTCGTCTCAACGGACTGGCGCAAACACAGGGTTGTCCTCAGATTTGACAGCGCCCACTACTACTCAGTTGTTGTGAGTAGTCGTGACGTTTATATCCTGGGATACGTGTAATTACTCATATGCGATGGAATCAACAATAATGTCCTTACTTTCACCATCAATACAGACCGCCTCCGTGGTCCACTGGCAGAGCGTCCGCCAGGAAGGTCCGGGGTTCGAGCCCCGGCAGGGTCATACCAAAAGACGTTAAAAGATGGTACTTGTTATTACCCTGTCTGGCGCTCGGCATTAAGGGGCTAAAACAAGGACTGGACGGCTCGGAGTCAGTTTAATGTGTCTAAGTGGGGTGTTCATGTTAAACTGCGGAATGGTATCTGAGTGTGCTAGCACTATAAATCGGCATCAGTCCGACTAGTACAAGCAGCCACACACACACACACACGTGCATGCACGTTTCATATGGCTATAGTTAATTTGTCACGATATGACAAAATCTGGTTTTCTTAACTTCTTTTGAGTGTTATATGCAGTTGAAGTGAGGCGAAATGGGATTTAAGGTCGTGTTCAAGATTGTTGCACTTACACTCTTCAAAAAGAGAAACGCACAGGTAGATTTTTAGTATATTTATTGTACCTTTTAAAGTCGATATATATAATTTGATATCATAGATACAAATATGATTTTTTTAGCTCGATAGTCACATGTTATCGTTGTACAAAGTCATTGAAAACTGTTCATTGTCATGTCACATAAGGCCACAAGGTTGCGCTGAACTCAGTATCTCGTGTGAACGCACCAGGCAGCAATCACGGCTCTGCATCTCCTCGGCATTGACTGAATATGTGTAGGAATTCTGTTCTCCGGAATTCTGCGCCATTCTGTTTGTAACGCGTTGGCCAGTTGTGGGCGTTCTGCGGAGTGTTCTGACGTTGACGTACACGTCGATCGAGTTCATCCCAGAGGTGTTTGATTGGGTTGAGATCCACTAAGTCACGTAGGCGGTCTCATCTGTATGGTAGTGATGTAACTGTATATATGTAGGCAGTCCTGTGATTGTCATGGCGTGGCAGGAAGAAATATTTCATGTACCTGTTCACAGTGGGTTAACTCGCAGGAGGTGATGCGGCACGACGGGGGGCACCTGCCCTTCGAGGAGAACATCAACTCCTTCCTCACGTTTGGCGGGAGTAACCGCGTGACAATCGCAGTGAACAACACCCTGACTCCCCACACCCTTCCGCCCGGCTCTGTCACCTACAAGACAGACACCACGAGGTAACACGTCCTGTGTAGTTGGAATGAGTGAGTGAGTGGGTATGTGTGTGTGTGAGTGAGTGGGTTTGTGAGTGAGCAAGCTGGGAGATCATTCTACAATCATGGCATATCAGGCCCTCTGATTGACAGGTCAGCTTTTAATATTCTCCAATACCATGCTATACCCATTCTATACTATACTGACCGCCTCCGTGGTCCAGTGGTAGAGCGTCCGCCCGGAGAGGGGAAGGTCCGGGGTTCTATACCCGGCCGCGTCATACCAAAAGACGTTGAAAGATGGTCTGGCGCTCGGCATTATGCACGTCGCTATATAAGTGCAATAATCTTGGACGCGAGGTTAAACCCCATTTCACCTCACCTCTATGCTGTGCTATGCTTTGCTATGCTGTGCTATGCTAACGCTCTAAGTATCATACTGGAAATTCTGAACCAAGACAAGCTACTTTGTCAGTTCACTTGCCAGGTTCACCTCCAACTTAATGTTTCAATGCTCCAGATATCCAGCCGGTTACTTTGTGCAGAATGTACAGATGGATTTCTTCAACTATGGAGGGATACATCGCCATGTACGACTCTACACGACACCAAACACATACGTCGACGACATCACGATCACCACAGATATCGCTGCGTCAAAAGGTGGCTACACTAATACTGTATACAACCAAAATATTCTGAATATTACCCACCCATACACTGCTGGGCAAAAGAAAGTATACGCCCTTGTTAGATGGTGGCTAAAACTGAAACAAACAAGAAATGGTTATCCGATGGTGATGTATTTTATCATGGGCGATAGTACATGCGTCATATCAGTAAGTATCTCATGAAAGGTCAGCCTATTAACGTTTCATAACGTTTGTAAGTTTTTGAGCAAATTCCATTTTCAAGTGTATCCTTTTTGTTGCCCCGCAGTTTACATGCATTAACACGGCACAGGTGATTAATACGGTAAGACAAATGATTTGACAGTTGATTGTTACGCCTGTCTTCATGGAGGATGTAACAAGTCAAGAGTCTCATTTATAAAATCCTGCAGAAAAGTATTACATGTGAAGTTACGTTGATTATGATGCTAGCCAGACAGACAATGTATTTTAGTAACAGGCCAGCGTCCAATAATATTAATGTAGCATGATAAATGACACATGCCGGAGTAAAATACAAATAATAATTTCATTCATGACAAAAATGTATTTGGTATTTCTTAATTTGTAGGTTTCTGCTAAGTATAAACTCATATTACGAAGGACAAGATTATCACCTGTTTGCAATTTTATTAGAGATGGATGATTAACAAACCCGCAATAAGAAAGCATCTGTTGTGTCCTAGGCGTGGTCAACTTCAATGTTGACAGTGGAGGTAGTACCGGTGCCACCAGTGTCAAGGTGGAAGTAGTGGACAAGGCAGGGAATGTCGTGGGCAGTGCAGACCGCATGAGTGGCGTGATCACGGTCACAAACCCCCATCTCTGGTACCCGTATACCATGGCAACCGGCACGCCTGCATATCTGTATGTATTGAAGGTGGGATTGTGTGTGAATCGGCTCATGTTTAGATCATTAATATGAAAGAGACCCATAGCAAAAAAGTAACCATAGACCTAACCTTTGCCCCTGCCCTCGCCATTGCCATCTCTAGCCCTTACCTAAGCGACTATACTTGCTCTTTCCTTTTCTCTAACCCCTTCGCTAAACCTATTTTAAACCCTTGCCCTTGTCCTAACCTCAAACCTTGTCCTTGCCCTTACCCTTGCCCATGTCCTAACCCAAGGCCTTGCCCATGTCCTAACATCAACCCTTACCCTTGCCCATGCCCTAACCTCAACCCTTGCCCTTACCCTTGCCAATGTCCTAACCTCAAACCTTCCCCTTACCCTTGCCCTTGTCCTAACATCAACCCTTACCCTTGCCCATGCCCTAACCTCAACCCTTGCCCTTACCCTTGCCCATGTCCTAACCTCAAACCTTGCCCCAACCCTTGCCCATGTCCTAACCTCAAACCTTCCCCTTACCCTTGCCCTTGTCCTAACATCAACCCTTACCCTTGCCCATGCCCTAACCTCAGCCCTTGCCCTTACCCTTGCCCATGTCCTAACCTCAAACCTTGCCCTTACCCTTGCCCATGTGCTAACCTCAGCCCTTGCCCTTACCCTTGCCCATGTCCTAACCTCAAACCTTGCCCTTACCCTTGCCCATGTGCTAACCTCAGCCCTTGCCCTTGCCCTTGCCCATGTCCTAACATCAACCCTTGCCCTTACCCTTGCCCGTGTCCTAACATCAACCCTTGCCCTTGCCCTTGCCCATGTCCTAACATCAACCCTTGCCCTTGCCGTTGTTCTAACCTCAACCCCTGCCCTTACCCTTGCCCATGTCCTAACATCAACCCTTGCCCTTACCCTTGCCCATGTCCTCACCTCAACCCTTGCCCTTACCCTTGCCCATGTCCTAACCTCAAACCTTGCCCTTACCCTTGCCCATGTGCTAACCTCAAACCTTGCCCTTTCCCTTGTCCATGTCCTTACCTCAACCCTTGCCTTTACAATTGCCCTTGTCCTAACCTTGCCCTTACCCTTGCCCTTGTCCTAACCCCAGCCCTTACCCTTGGCCTTGTCCTAACCTCAAACCTTGCCCTTACCCTTGCCCTTGTTCTAACCTCAACCCTTGCCCTTGTCCTTGTATTAATACCATCCCTTGCTTTGACCTTGCCCTTGTCCTTGCCCTGACCTCAAACCCTGCCCTTGCCCTCTATGGTGTTCTCCTGTAAAAAGTAAAGAGTATATATGGTTGTAACTTATATTGTGGGTGAGTTCTGTTACAAGCTGCATGTGAAGGACGTTAGATTGCTACATTTCTAATATAAAGTATTAGACCAAATGTCGATTTGGTTGTTTTTTAACACCGCACACAGCAATATTCCAGCTGTATGACGGCGGCCTGTAAATAATCGAGTCTGGACCAGACAATCCTGTGACTGATATTGTGAACAACAATCCACGAAGACGAGTTAAATCAATCTCGATCCATTTTGTCGGCTCTTACGACCAGCATAAAGTTGATGGGGATCAATTCGAAGCAGGGATACCCGCGGATTGTAAAGGTAAGATATTTCATTTATTGCGCTAACCACGGAGATTTTTTACAGTCCAGTTTTTAAGAGAATAATTCTTTCAGGTGAGCCTAGTGTCCTCGACTGGGACAGACATCTATCGCCTGCCTTTCGGGATCCGCACCGTCCGTGTTACCGACTCCCAGATACTGATCAACAACAAACCCTTCTACTGTCAGGGCGTGGCCAAACACGAGGACTCGGATGTAAGCATACCTCAGTCAACACGACACCGACTGTACTGCCATATCGGTTTTAACAAACTATGTTCTTATCTGCGTCCTAACGTTATAGTCCAAGCGGTAACAAACGAGAGATTATATTCAGGGTCATTAATATCTTCCTAGAAGCCAATCATGTTATATTCTGGTGGCGACCTTGTATTTAAAAACAATCTGCTCTTGAAATAATACAAAATAATAGGGACTTTAACATAAACATAAACACACTTTAACATAAAAAACATTCTCTGGTTTCGCTATTTTTTTCAGAGAAAAGAAAGAGTTTTGTCTTAAAACGCTGCCTGAATAAAAACGTAAAACAAGACTTAGTCAATTAGTTATTCAACATCAACAAATGTTCATTGATTTTAAATACCACTTAAAGATAGCAGGACAGGAAGGAGAAGTTATTAAAGGCGAATCAGTTCCTGGTATATAAGAGGACAGTCACCTTAACAGCCAGGCAAATGGAAGTATAGCCTCTCTTACTTGTTGGGGCGGTCGGGTAGCCTAGTGGTTAAAGCGTTCGCTCGTCACGCCGAAGACCCGGGTTCGAATCCCGACATTGGTACAATGTGCGAAGCCCATTTCTGGTGTCCCCCGCCGTGATATTGCTGGAATATTGCTAAAAGCGGCGTAAAACCATATTCACTCACTCACTCTCTTACTTGTTAGCAACAACAACGTTCAATGTAAAACATAAGATTCACCAGTCTTAAGATGAGTATATTCATGAGCACGGTAATATGCAAAGTAATTAAACTGCCAGGCACAAGAAAGTATAAACTTGAAAACTAGATTGACCGAACATTGACAAACGTTATCAAAACGTTATTAAGCTACCGGACAGTTACCAAAACACTGTAAACTTAAACTACGATACCCGAATAAACTACATCACCATGGGATAACAAACTGTTTTTTCTTTCATTTTTTAGTCACCATCATCAAACGGTGGTGTTAATTACTTTTGCCCAGCAGTTAAGTCAAAACAATTAGGGGCGGTCGGGTAGCCTAGTGGTTAAAGCGTTCGCTCGTCACGCCGAAGACCCGGGTTCGATACCCGACATGGGTACAATGTGTGAATCCCATTTCTGGTGTCCCCCGCCGTGATATTGCTGGAATATTGCTAAAAGCGGCGTAAAACCATACTCACTCACTCACTCAAAACAATTAAGCATGTCTTGGCTGGAAGGACACTTAGAGAAAGTACGCCAAGGCTGGGTGATTGAGCGTGTCATCGTACACGATTACACTGCGCAGCTCTCAATCTAGTTCTACAAAACTAACAGCGATCGCTATAGTACAACCACTGAATGTAGCCATGCTGAGCACAGGTTGGTGCGGCTGGTGTAAACACGCTGAAGCACATGTAGCAGATGTGGTTTCTCCTTAGGCAAGTGAATTTGTTCGAAATATGCCTCTGTTCAGTAGATAGTGAATGGGTACCCGCTAGGGCGAGATGGGAATGAGACTGTTAACCCTCTAGTTTAGGTAGTACACTCCCCGGGGGGATGAGAATGAACATCGAGTGACTGGGGTAATAATGTAGCACCTTGGGAATGCTTTTAGGTGTGGATTTGGCTCATTATTTTCATCATCATCATCATCATCATCGTCGTCGTCGTCGTCGTCGTCGTTGTTGTTGCTGTTGTTGTTGTTATTGTTGTTATTATTATCATTATTATTATTATTATTATTATTATTATTATTATTATCATTATCATTATACATGCTCGTGTTCTGTAGATAAGAGGTAAAGGCCTGGACTACGCCCTGATCGCCAAGGACTTCAACCTGCTCAAGTGGCTGGGGGTCAACTGTTTCCGGACCTCCCACTACCCGTACGCCGAGGAGATCATGGACCAGGCAGACCAGCAGGGCATCATGGTCATTGATGAGAGCCCGGGGGTCGGGATTGATGAGTGGGTCATAGTTAATCGTGTGCTCAATGTAACTCGGTGTTCTGGATGGCAATGCAACTAAACAATATTCGCACGAATCTCTCCTTCAAATTGATATGGGGGGCACGGGTGGCCAAGTCGTCTAAGGCGCCGCGATTCGCTGTGCAGAGTTGCGTCCCTTGGGCACGCCAGAAACCTATGATTGTGGGTTCGAATCCCGGTTCGCCCCAATTATGTTTCTAGGTTTCTCAGCACCATACCCGTGCTCGTGGGTTTCACCCAAGTGGTAAACGTCTGAGACCTGCATCACTTCGGGCTTTCCTCCCACATTAAGCTGACACTGTTAAAAGCGGCGTTAAACCCAACTCACTCACTCCTTCAAAATGATATGGGCGGTGGGGTAGCCTTGTGGGTAATGCGCTGGCCCGACACAACGACGGCCCGGGTTAGATGATCCACGTGGGTACAACGTAGGAAGCCCATTTCTGGTTTCCACACGAGATGACAGATTGCTGAAATATTGCTAAAAGCGGCGTAAAACCATGCTCAATCACTTCCAACTTTCGGAGAGATGCTATGCATAAGCTCAAACACATATGCCCATAAAACACTGTCCAAGAAAGTTTCCAATACTGACCCGCAACCTGCTGTGAAGTCCTCTATCCGCGCCACGATCCCCTTGTGGTGGGTTCGAATCTCAGATTCACCTCGATTATGACCCTTGGTTTCCCAGCACATTACCAGTGCATCCAGATTCCTCAAAGCGGAAAACCTGTTCGTCCTTTGCCATTTTGGGCTTTCACAGTAGGTTTAGACGTCGTGATATAAATGAAATGCTGTGACTGGCTGTGACTGGATGCTATTGTGTGAGAATAAAACGTTTTTAAAATATGCATCCACCCAGTAAGTAAAACTGACCTTGTGTTTTCAATATTTAGTCCTGCTTTTTAACATGTACATGTGTTAGCTAATGAATGCTTAAACGTTACTATAAAAGTCTATGGGAAAACATTTGGTTGTGTGTAACCTTGACAAAGCGCGTGTCTCCTGTGCGACCTACTTGTGGCAACAATGGTCTGTTCCAGAGATGAGAACTTCAGCAACATCTCCCTTCTGCATCACATGGAGGTGATGAGTGAGCTGGTGCAGAGAGACAAGAACAGACCCTCCGTGTTCATGTGGTCTGTCGCCAACGAGCCCAGGAGTGACAAGGCTATATCGGAAGCTTATTTCAGGTGAGATGAATGTCGTTGATGGTTGATGGTTTGTTGTTTAACGCCGCACTCGGCAATATTCCAGCTATATGGCGGATGTCTGTAAATAATCGAGTCTGGACCAGACAATCCAGTGATTGATATCATGAGCATCGATCCACGCAATTGGGATCGATGACATGCATCAACCAAGTCAGCGAGCCTGACCACCCGATCCTGTTAGTCGCCTTTTACGACAAGCATAGTCGCCTTTTACGGCAAGAATGGGTTGCTGAAGACCTATTCTACCCCGGATCTTCACGGGAAGAGATGAATGTCACATTTCATATGTATGTTTTATATTTTGTTTGTTGTGTAACGCCGTCCGCAGCAATATACCAGCCATATGAGGGCAGTAAATAATTGAGCCTGGCCTAGACAGTCTACTGATTGACATCATGAGCATCGATCGAAAGCAATGGGGATAAGATGACATGCTTGAACCAAGTCAGCGAACCTTATCACTTGATCCAGTTAGTCTCATCTTAGTCTCCAACCCGGATCTTCAGATGGTGTATTCCGTTTAACTGAAACGTTAGTAAATGAAAATATATATTTAGATATATTCTTTAAAAAAATACCCTGTCGTGATTCCGGGTCAGAATAGGTCCCCAGTACCTCATTCATGTGGTATGGCCGATAAGAATGGTGATAGGGAAGTCATTTTCATGACTTGGGTGATGACGTCTCATGATACCCAACTGGCGTGGATCGTTGATCTTGCTAGCAGTCATTGGTGTGTCTGGTTGAGAATTGATAACTTACTGCCGTGATATTGCTGGAATAATGCTGACTACAACGTTAAATAACACCGACTCACACTATTCTTAATCTTTCAAATCCCTGTAACATTTTTCATTGGAAAATATAAACGCTGAAAAAATGTCCATTTATGAAAATCACAGTGACATTTCTGTGAAATAAAAAAAAAGCTTCGGATCAGAACCTAAACAAAGAACATGAGTGATCCTAGAGTTCCATCTTTGGTGAGTCAGTGTTATGGGAGTGGCAATATGTGTGTACTACGATTCTCATGTGTCTGTGGGTCCAGGGCCCCGTACCTCAAAGCGATCTTAGCGCTACGATGATCGTAACCCTATGTTAAAGTATGGGACTTACGATCACCTTAGCGCTAAGATCGCTTTGAGGAACGGGGCCCAGATCGTGGTAATACACATGAATTCAAATTGGAACCAGAAACGATGAAAAGGACGATCTTGATTTCCATGTATATTTCGACACTATCCACATGGTCAAGTCGAACTGGGATAGCTCAACTTGACCATGTGATCAAAGTCTGAGTGAAATACTGCGTGAAAGTTAATGTTTTGTAACGGAGATTCCGTGTAGAACTGGTGAATGTTCTTTCGCCTATTGATGTGAGTCCACCATTCCTTGTTGTACTTTCAATACTTTTGTTTGGGTCAGGTCAGTGATTGGTCACACGAGGAGCCTGGATCACACGCGACCAGTGACATTTGTAACGGACCAAACATATACAAGTGACAAAGCCGTAAGATTAAAACTATTACAAAATGAATAAGATATGTCAAACGTGTTTATAATTTTATTGTTACATAATCATATTACTACTACTGCTACTGACCTGTGAAGATGCGGGTAGAATAGGGCTTCAGCAACCCAGGCTTGCCGTAAAAGGCGACTAACGGGTTTCGGGTGGTCAGGCTCGCTGACTTGGTTGATGCATGTCATCGTATCCCAATTACGTGGATCGGTGCTTATGATGTCAATCACTAAACGGTCTGGACTCGATAATTTACAGACCGCCATTATATAGCTTGAATATTGCTAAGTGCGGCGTTAAACAAAAACAACAACAACAAAAACAAACTACTGCTACTACTACTACTACTACTACTACTACTACTACTACTACTACTACTACTACCCGTCCTTCATGACGCATCATGACAACAGCCACAGAGAGTTTTGACAATATGTCAAGGACGCCATTTGCCTTCAGTTGCAGTTTGTGGACGTCATCTGCTTCAACCGCTACTACGGCTGGTACAGCGACCTCGGCCACACGGAGCTGATACAGCTGCAGCTGGGCACCGACCTTGACGCCACAAGGGTCAAATACAGGAAGCCCATCATCATCACGGAATATGGGGCGGACACTATCCCAGGACTACATGGGGTTCGTGGGACATCTCACTGTACCTAATTTAACATCGCCGACAATCGCTTATACAGCATTTCACTCTTTCCAATTGAACCCGTTTGATCTTAATGTCCGTTTATGTCTGAGGAGTACAATCGCATTACCTTCGACCATCGGATTTGTTAAATTTCTTTTTCTATTAAACTGTACTGCAGAAGAGACCTACAGTTTTCAATAATGGAGTCTGGTCGATCAAGCCATATTTCGTTCAACCGATATTTGGGGCGGTCGGGTAGCCTAGTGGTTAAAGCGTTCGCTCGTCACGCCGAAGACCCGGGTTCGATTCCCGACATGGGTACATTGTGTGAAGCCCATTTCTGGTGTCCCCCGCCGTGATATTGCAGGGATATTGCTAAAAGCGGCGTAAAACAATACTCACTCACTCACTCACTCACTCAACCGATATGCAACTGATCCAATGTTATATCGTAATAAATCAGCCAGCAAATGGCCAACTTTCTGGAATGTAACCGTAGAGTTGTAATACATATATTTATATCCTGTGTACTATAATTGTATCAGTATGTATCTGTGTGTATCAGTACGTATCAGTATGTATCAGTACGTGTCAATGTGTAGCAGTATGTTTCAGTATGTGTCAAAGTATATCAGTAGGTATCAGTGTGCATCAGTACGTATCATTATGTATCATTATGTATTAGTGTGTATCTGTGTGTATCAGTGCGTATCAGCATGTATCAGTGTGTATCAGTATGTATCTGTGAGCATCAGTATGTATCAGTATGCATCAGTGTGTATCAGTATGCATCAGTGTGTATCAGTATGTATCAGCATATATCAGTATATATCAGTGTGTATCAGTACGTATCATTATGTATTAGTGTGTATCTGTGTGTATCAGTGCGTATCAGCATGTATCAGTGTGTATCAGTACGGATCAGTGTGTATCACAACGTATCTGTTTATCAGTATGTATGAGTACGTATCAGTATGTATCAGTACGAATCAGTATGTATCAGTGTGTATCAGTATGTATCTGTGAGCATCAGTATGTATCAGCATGAATAACTATGTATCAGTATGTATCAGTGTGTATCAGTATGTATCAGCATATATATCAGTATATATCAGTGTGTATCAGTACGTATCAGTGTGTATCAGTACGTATCAGTGTGTATCAGTATGTATCAGTATGTATCAGTACGTATCAGTATGTATCAGTATGTATCAGTATGTATCAGTACGTATCAGTGTGTATCAGTATGGACCAGTGTGCATCAGTATGTATCAGTATGGATCAGTGTGCATCCGTTTGTATAAGCATGTATCAGTATGTATCAGTGTGTATCAGTACGTATCAGTATGTATCAGTACGTATCAGGGTGTATCAGCATGTATCAGTATGTATCAATGTGTATCAGTACGTATCAGTATGTATCAGTACGTATCAGCGTGTATCAGTATGGATCAGTGTGTATCAGTACGTATCAGTATGTATCAGTGTGCATCAATACGTAACATTATGTATCAGTACGTATCAGTACGTATCAGTTTGTATCAGTACGTATCAGTGTGTATCAGTATGGATCAGTATGGATCAGTGTGCATCAGTATGTATCAGCATGTATCAGCATGTATCAGTGTGTATCAGTACATAACAGTATGTACCAGTACGTATCAGTGTGTATCAGTATGTATGAGTACGTATCAGTATGCATCAGTGTGTATCAGTACATAACAGTGTGTATCAGTACGTATCAGTGTGTATCAGTATGTATCAGTGTGTATCGGTATGTATGAGTACGTATCAGTATGTATCATTGTGTATCAGTACATAACAGTGTGTATCAGTACGTATCAGTATGTGCCAGTACGTATCAGTGTGTATCGGTATGTATGAGTACGTATCAGTATGTATCATTATGTATCAGTACGTATCAGTGTGTATCAGTATGTATCTGTGTATCAATGTGTATCAGTATGTATCAGTACGAATCAGTGTGTATCAGTACGTATCAGTGTGTACCAGCATGTATCAGTGTGTATCAGTACATAACAGTGTGTATCAGTACCTATCAGTGTGTATCAGTATGTATGAGTACGTATCAGCGTGTATTAGTTCGTATCTGTGTATCAATGTGTATCAGTACGTATCAGCGTGAATTAGTACGTATCTGTGTATCAGTATGTATCATTATGTATCAGTGTGTATCAGAACATATAAGTGTGTATCAGTACGTATCAGTATGTATCAGTTTGTACCAGGGTGTATGAGTATGTATGAGTACATATCAGTGTGTATCAGTACGTATCTGTGTGTATCAGCATGTATTAGTGTGCATCAGTATGTATCAATTTGTATCAGTATGTATGAGTACGTATCAGTGTGTATGAGTATTTATGAGTACGTATCAGTATGTATCAGTGTGTATCAATGTGTCTCAGTATGTATCAGTATGTATCACCACAAAGAACAAGAGAACCCTGTTAAAGGTATGTTCATCTACCAGGATCCATCAGTCTCGTTCACCGAAGAGTACCAGGTGGAATTCCTAGAGGAGTATCACAAACTCTTCGATGCCAAGATTGGCAAGTACCTGGTTGGTGAAATGGTTTGGAACTTCGCCGACTTCATGACAGTACAAGGTAACTCCAGCGTCTGTGCACCAAACCCTAATCCACACACAAGTCACAAACCGAGTCATTATGTGCAAGTCACGGATGTGTCAAGGAACACGTGTTGTACTCAGTGGTATGACGCACTTCAACGAGTCCGACTCAGCTGATACATTTTTCAATCCCAGATTCGTCCGCGTAATGATCAGACCGGTGAAGATCCGGGATAGGATAGGTCTTCAGCAACCCATGCTTGCCGTAAAAGGTGATTTGCTTGTAGTAAGAGGCGACTAACGGGATCAGGTGGTCAAGCCCTCTGACTTGGTTGAAGCATGTCATCGTTTCCCAATTGCGTGGATCGATGCTCATGATGTCAATCACTGGATTGTCTGGTCAGGTCTCGATTATTTACAGACTGCCGTCATATAGCTGGAATATTGCTGAGTGCGGCGTTGAACAACAAATAAACAAACAAACAAACGTGTAATAATCACGAATCTGTCAGCACCACACCAATCCTCCTGGATTTCACCAAAGTGATTGGTGTCTGTGACCTGAATCATTTCGGACTTTCAACAAGCTGAAACGTTATGAAATGCTGTTCAAAGCGCAGTTTAAAGCGCAGTTTAACATCACAATAACCTTTCAACTGGTTTATTGGTCTTTAGAAAAAAAAAAAAAATTAATGAAACTTAAAGCCCCATATTTCTGTGCTACCTATAATGCTCCGAGTCAGGTCAATGTCCATACTACGAGTTTCCATGTCGGTTCCACTGTTGCAGGACTCCAGAGGGTGGTTGGTAACAAGAAAGGGCTGCTGACTAGGCAACGACAACCCAAACGCGCAGCCTTTACCCTGCGCAGCAGATATCTGGCCATGGGGAATATAACCAGTCCCACGCCCACCGTACCAGGTTTACCAGTCATCGGCTAGTGACCACAAGTTGCCGTAAAACAAACATGTAAAGAAATTGTTGTAATAAAAGATAATATGAAGAACAGCTACAGTCGTTTCCGTTCCCAACAAAGAGAGACTGTTCACAAGTTAAATACCACATGCAGTATGTGTAATTTTATACTTTACCGACCGTTTTGTTTAGTTAATGTTATTTATTCGTTGTTTCGTCTTTTCTTCGTTAAGGGGAACTGAACCAGATTCGAACCATTTCCCGAAAACAAGTTCCTTTGGAACACAATATATAGCTGTTGTCTTTCTGTCGAGAATGCAAATAAAAGCGACAAAACCATTCCCACATTCACAAGGAATCTCTACCAAACGCAGAGCCCATTGTACGAGTCCAACTATATCATAAACATATGTTTATGAATCACTATCAAAGAGTGATGATACCAGGTGTTCGAGAAAGGGGAAGTGCGAATCCTGCCCCACCGGTGTCACGAATATATATAAATATATAGCAAGTCATATCAGCATATAATTCACGACACGTATGCAGGCTAAAAAATGCAAATGTTTCTCTTTCACTTTCGTGTTACGATCACTTTAAAACGAGTAATTGCCAGTAAAAAATAGTTTTCAAATTTCCCGAGTCATACTAAGCAGACTCTGTTGTCCATGCTTGACAATTATCGTTGTATCAAAGGGACGAGTTCAATGCCTGCCCACTTGTGTTTGTTGATGTTCTTGGTAGGGAACTAAACATGTAAACTGTTCCTCTCATCACTAGGGTTTTCATAAAAACCTCAACATTGCCTTCCTCATTTTTTAGAAACATGTGCCCGAGAAACATTTATTTTTGTGAACATTTTATTTCTCTTTCAAATCCGTATTGTAAAACTGTGTACAGCAGCTATCAGACCTTTGGCTCCATGTACCTATATGCACTGCATTCACGTCCCTATGACGTACTGTCTTTCATGGCCCTGTCGTCTAAGGCGCCGCAATTCGCTGCGCAGAGTTGCCTCCCTTGGGCACGCCAGAAACCTATGATTGTGGGTTCGAATCCCGGTTCGCCCCGATTATGTTTCTAGGTTTGTCAGCACCATGCCCGTGCTCGTGGGTTTCACCGAAGTAGTAAACGTCTAAGACCTGAATCACTTGGGGCTTTCCTCCCACATTAAGCTGACACGCCGTGATATGACTGGAATACTGTTAAAAGCGGCATTAAACACAACTCACTCACTCACTACTGTCTTTCAATCCTAAAAGTTTCCCTCCAGAATATGGACCGCTTCTGTGGTCTAGTGGTAGAGCGTCCGCCCGGAGAGCGGAAGGTCCGGGGTTTGATCCCCGACCGCGTCATAACAAAAGACGTTAAAAGATGGTACTTGTTCTTACCCTGTCTGGCGCTCGGCATAAAGGGGCTAAAACAAGGACTGGCCGGCTCGGAGTCAGTATAATGTGTCTGAGTGGGGTATTCATGTTAAACTGCGGCATGGTATCTCAGTGAGCGAGCACGATAAATCGGCATCAGTCCGGACTAGTACAAGCAGCCACACACACACGTGCATGCACGTCGCTATAAATGTGCAATAATCTTGGACGCGACGTTAATCCCAATTTCACCTCACCTCACCCTCCAGAATATTGTCAACAACTTAACCCAGAAAATGAAAAAGATTTTTAATATATTTCAAGGTACAAGAAAACCCAACAATTGTATACAACACCAAGCAGGAAATAGGTACCACATAGGATGAATGCTCAACGTTTTAATGCCTAACATGTATTATTGGGGGGTATACCACACAGGGAGATGAAATTGCAATTTGAAAACACCTTTACTCCTTGCATCAACATCAATTGCATCAACATCAACCCAGAATTGCATTTAGTCATTTATCTTCATGTAAGTTTTCATTATAGCTTCGAGAAGAGTTGTTAACACAATCATTTAACCCATACTCAGACCATATGTTTATCAAGACGTTAAAGTAAAGTTCAGTTTGAAGAATATAAGTTGTTCTAGGTCCTGGTCAAAGGCAAAAGGTTTTTGGCATCTTGAAATTATTTAAGAGACAAATTTTAAGCATAAATATCAAAATATGGTTTTAAGATTTTAAATTCTGCAATTCTGAAAATATTTTAATCCGGCATTCATTTCTATGCGATCAGAATATAGGATACTGTATTCGTGAAACAATCAATAGAAAATATTGATGAGATACAGGTGAGAACGTAAATAGTTGTCTTTTCAATAGTCTCATTCGGATAATACACACACTGAGCTACATATAGAATAGTATAATCATAGTAATGACAAGGGGACAATAGGAAGCTGTACATGACGCCAAAGCAAATAAAATATTTTTCATTCAGAATACATTAACAAATACTTTTGACCTCATGCCCGTCATCTGCAAAACACAGGCGATTGTATCTTTGTTCCCACGTTATATATACTTCATCAAAACCGAATATCTTCAATCAACTATTTCATCACTTTCGAGGGTGATGTTGACGGGTGTGAAGAACATGCTACAAGACAAAGGTGTCATATGCTATGGGAATCGGTTATTTCAAGTTTCATAAGATGTTATGTTATTTTAAAACTTGTCTACAACCTTACATGCTTCTCGCAAAAGTTGTTTACTAGTGTTGTGTTTCACAGGATATATTGTAATCTTTGATTAGTTTTACGGGTTGGGGGTGGGGGTGGGGGTTGGGGTTGGGGGGTTGGGTTGGGTCTGGGGATGGGGGTGGTGCGAAATGGGAAATGATCAGAATAATTATAACTACCTTCCTTGCAAAGGCAATCAAGAGTTGCCTTGACTATATTCATCTTTCGACCGGTGAGTCTTGTTTTACAATAAATGTTGTTATTGCTGACAAGTAAACAAGTTAGAGAGACATGCATTTACATTTGGATTTAAAACAAAACTTTCCCCTCGTGACAATTACTTCATAGTTCATTTCCTGAATAGCCATATACAAGCTGAGGTCATATTTAGGACCAAATAGAGTTCGGGAAAAGATTTCAGTCTTTGATTTGAGCAGTTTTAGAAACAACGTTTCCAAGGAGATCTTCAATCGTGACCTTGACCTCTTGACCCGGATGATCAACGTTGAGTGGGAAAGATCGTACTTCCGGTTCAATCTCGTTTATCAGCTCCTGTCCGTTCAGATCCACGGTGTAGCGGAACTGCGGCGTGGACGTCTCAGGGACCTTCCACTGCACACCGTGCGACTTCGCCTCCGTGATCTCAAACTCTATAGCGGGTTTTATTGGAGCTGGCGGTAGAGTGATCTTGAAATCTGCTTCAGTACCTAGTCCAGTTGTGGGATGGATGTTTTCCCCCGTCTCAACGAAGTAGTACCCGTAGTCGACACCGGCGTTGTAGTTGTGTTCCCAGTCCTTGACCCGGAAGCCCTGGTTGACGTGTAGATGGGCAGTGTCCAGCGGGTGCCATGTCTTGTCCGTCCCTCGCTTGTAGCCGTGGCCGAACCGAACCTTCCTGTCGGGTCTCCCGCTCCCCTGGAAGTCTTCCATGAAGCTGTCGGTGGTCGTGTGAAACGTCACGTCCTTCACTGGGTAGTCGAAGGTCACCAAATGGGTCCACACCTAAACACAATGAGTGAGTGAGTGAGTGAGTTCAGGTTGAACACTGTTTTAGTTATTTCACTTTTATTTCCACAAGCACGGTTTCGGTGCTCATAATCATGGAGAATAAGAAACAAGATCATAATAATGGTAAGCGTAAGGGACACAACCCTGAACAGGGAACTGCAGTGCCTAAGAGGGTGGGGTTTTGGTCCTGGAACTTTATCCCCAAAAAATAAATGGTCCCAGGAGAGTCTTGACTGTTAATTCACGCTTTTGTTGCAAGTTGAATCCCCCCTCCCCACCTTTCCGAATATCAAATTGTCGGTCCCTAAATCTGTCTCCATAGTTCTGGGTATTAGACGACTTGGTCATACGTGGATGATTTGAATAAAAAGAACTCTTTATGGAACTGAGGAACCAAATGATCCTATCCACTTATGGGATTCGAACCACAAGTCTCAGATCATGACCTGGCAATGTGTCCCCGAATGTCACACATAGTACATCCTTATTCAGGATCAAACTCAAAACCTAAACGTCCCTTTCTTAAGATTGTTGTTCTCGGGATTTAGGATAGGGACCACCTCTGCGGTCTAGTGGTAGAGCGTCCGCCCGGAGAGCGGAAGGTCCGGGGTTCCCCGGCCGCGTCATACCAAAAGACGTTAAAAGATGGTACTTGTTGTTACCCTGTCTGGCGCTCGGCATTAAGGGGCTAAAACAAGGACTGGTCGGTTCGGAGTCAGTATACTGTGTCTGAGTGGGTATTTATGTTAAACTGCGGCATGGTATCTCAGAGAGCAAGCACTATAAATCGGCATCAGTCCGGACTAGTACAAGCAGCCACACACACACACCTGTGCATGCACGTCGCTATATAAGTGCAATAATCTTGGACGCGACGTTAAACCCCATTCACCTAACCTCACCACCTCACTTAGGATAGACCATATGGTAGACAAACTACTATTCTCTCCTCACCTTTGATGTTTGATTGTGGACCCAGAAACCGAAACGTGTGTGCCCTCCATCTTGCCAGAGTCTGTTGACCATGGTGTACCAGTAGTTTGGCGCCCACCCTAGGGAATGGTTGCCCATGTGAATCCCCTTCCCTTCATTTCCGAAGAAGGACACCTTGGTCCAGAGTCCCGTGAAGACTGCAGTGCTGACTGGCAGGGATGTGTCGTGGGGGTCCCAGATGGAGTAGATGTAGGACCTGTCTCCATTACCGTGGTCCTGGATCCCTAGGTAGCCTTGGCCGTCCGCGCTGTTGTTCCACTCCAGACACGCGTAGTAGGTGTGGGGTTGTGCACCGTCGTCGGGGACATAGACGTCCTAGCAAAACGATAATGTGAGTGAGTTTGGTTTTATGCTGATTTTAGCAATAGTACGGCATTGTCACGGCGGGGGACACAAAACATGGGCTTCACACATGGTACCCACGTGAGGAATCGAAACCGGGCCTCCGAGGCTGTTTTTGGCGGGGGACACCAGAAATGGGCATCACGTGTTGTACAAATGTGGGGAATCACGAAAGAGAAACTAGAGCCTTCTGCATGACGAGCGTACGCTTTAACCACTAGGCTACCAAACCACCCAAACGCTAATGTAACAATATAATGCGTCAATACGTTATTACGGCAATGTAGAAATACGTTATAACCTTTAACGTCTCAAAACGTCATTTCGTCAATCACCGCCTCAGTGGTCTTGTGGATCTGACCGGAGAGCGGAAGGGGGCGGTGGTTCGATCCCCGGCCGTGTAATATCAAAGACGTTATTAGACGGTACTTGATGTTTCCCTGTCTGGCGCTCGGCAAAAAGGGGATAAGACAAGGACTGGTCGGTATACTGTGTGATAATCACTTTGGCTTTCCTCCCACATCAAACTGACACGTCGATTTAAGTGACCTCCGGTTCAAAGCGGTGTAAACCTCAATTCACTGACTCACTCCTATAGTTGATTGGCATACATAATTTTTTTACGTAACCTATGAAGATCCGGGTGAGACTGATCTTCAGCAACCCACTTGTAAGAGGCGACTAACGGGATCGAGTGACCAAGCTCGCTGACTTGGTTGCATGCCACTATCCTACTTGCGCAGACCGATGCTCATGATGTCAATACAGTAAACTACGGTTATAACGAACTAAAGGGGCCACTACATGTAGTTCGTTATAACCGTAGTTCGGTATAGGCACATATACAGCCAATATACAGCAAATGGACGGGACTAATAACAGTTCGGTATAAGCATGTTTGCTATAAACGTAGTTTACTGTATTTGCAATCCGCCGTCATGTGGAATAATGCGCCGTTAAACAACAGGTGAAATTGGGTTTAACGTCGCGTCCAAGATTATTGCACTTATATAGCGACGTGCATGCACGTGTATGTGTGTGTATGTTGCTGCTTGTACTAGTCCGGACTGATGCCGATTTATAGTGCTAGCACACTGATATACCATGCCACAGTTTAACATGAATACCCCACTCAGACACAGTATACTGACTCCGAGCCGATCAGTCCTTGTTTTAGCCCCTTAATGCCGAGCGCCAGAAAGGGTAAGAACAAGTTCCATCTTTTAACGTCTTTTCGTATGACGCGGTCGGGGATCGAACCCCGGACCTTCCGCTCTTCGGGCGGACGCTCTACCATTAGACCACGGAGGCGGTCCCGTTAAACAACAAACAAACAAATAAATGTTTACCTGCAAGAGAATATCCCCTGGAAAATTGTCATGGTAGTGGAGATGTACAGCCGGAGATCGGGTGGTGTGGTCAGTCATTGTGTCCACTCAGTGTCCACGACTGTATTCAGACCAGGATGTTAATGTTGACCAGGAATAAACTCAAAATCTAATGACCAAACAGAGCCGAAGGACTGACCACGTTTAGACAAATCAAAGCTGTTCATCCTATTACTTATCGTAAAATTAAATTTACTCAGTACGTATGTACTATTATCATGCTAATTTAGGCGATATAAGTACCTACTTATTAAACCAGCCGCCAGTGCTGATGTCAGTGTTTGATAATAAGCATGATAAGGTGATAATTATCCCGATGTTTACATAGAGCTTACGGTTCGATCCATGTGACCGGTGACCCATTGTAGGGTTGATGCGTCACAGACAGAGGTCCTAACACGAGTTGTAAATTTATATAGACTTATGGATATAATCGCATGCAGAAGTTCAACTAGAGGTTACTACAGTCGAAACTTATGACGTGGCTGCTAGAAATCTTTGATCGTGGGTTCGAATCCCGATTTTCCCTGATAATGGTTCTTGGTTTGTTAGCACCCGTGCTCGTAGGTTTCAACAAAGTGGTAAACAACTAAGATGCGCATCACTTCGGGTTTTCCTCCCACATTAAGCTGACACGCCGTGACATGACTGAGACATTGTTCTAAGCGGCGTTTAACTAAACTCACTCACTCACTCATTCATTAAGAAGCATTGCGGTGGGTAAGCCTAGTGGTTAAAGTATGCGCGCGTCACGCAGAAGGCCCTGGTTCGATGTCCCACATTTGTACAGTGTGTGAGCCCATTTCTGGTGACCCCCGTCGTGGTTTTGCTGTAATATTGTCAACTGCGGCGTATCGGATAGATAGACAAATTTATGTACAACCTGTTTTGATATTGTTTTTCTAAAATCATACTAGCTTTTCTATCATGTGAGGTGAGGTGAGGTGAGGTGAAATTGGGTTTAACATCGCGTCCAAGATTATTGCACTTATATAGCGGCGTTCATGTACGTGTGTGTGTGTATGTGTGTGTGTGTGTGGCTGCTTGTACTAGTCTGGACTGATGCCGATTTATAGTGCTAGCTCACTGAGATACCATGCAGCAGTTTAACATGAATACCCGACTCAGACACACTATACTGACTCCGAGCCGACCAGTCCTTGCTTTAGCCCTTTAATGCCGTGCGCCAGACCACGGAGGCGGTCCTTTCTATCGTGTGACGTAAGGTGAAATGGGGTTTGACGTGGCGACGGGCATGCACCTGTGTGTGTGACTGCTGTAACTAGTCCTGACTAACTAGCCCACTGAGCTACCATGCCGCAGTTTAACATAAATACCCCACTCATACCCTCATGAATACCCCCTTAATGCCGAGCGCCAGACAGGGTAACAACAAGTACCATCTCTTTACGTATTTTGGTGTGTCGCCCCCGGGTATCGAACCCCGGACCTTCCGCTTTCCGGGCGGACGCTCTGTACCACTAGACCACGGAGGCTGTCCTTCTCTATCATTAAACGTTTTCGCTTAATTTTCTTTGAAAGGGTACGTGAATACAGTATCGTGTAAAAACCGAAACAGCAACCAAATTACATTACAATTACAAGAGCAAAATAAAAGCAGATACCCGAAATGATCATTACCAGGGCGAACCTAGGATTCGAACCTACGATTAGCAGATTCTGCCATGAGTAAGGGAAGCAACTCTGTACAGCGAATTGTAACGCCTGAGATCACTTGGCTACCCGTACACAGTCCAGGTTACACATGTGTCCGATACCAAATTTGAACCAGCACCTTACTACTTTCAATATACGTTATGTATTGTTATCTCTTTAAATGGAACACTTTCCTCAGTTTCAGAAATAGACATTAAACAGCCCGGCAAAAGAAAGTATACATTTGAAAATTGAATTTGACCCAAAAAATACGAACGTTATTAAAACGTTACAGAGCGGAAATCAGTCGCCGGAAGACTGCAAACCTAAGGGTAAAAAAACCAACTACGATAACCGTATGAAATAGGTCACCATCGAAAAAAACATATTTTGTTTCTTTCATTTTAGCAACAATCAAAATGCGTGCATTCATTCTTTTGCCCGGCAATTTGTTGATGAAATATGTCTGGAATCCTTTGATGTGATATTATCTATAATACCAGTATCAACTAAATCACCACCGGAAAACATTTCTTGTTTGTTTCAGTTTTAGCCACTTTTGACACATGGGTGTAAGACTTCTTTGTCCGGTAGTTAAGTAAAAACTTTATAAACACACGGCTTATTAATGCGAACGTCCTTGCAAATACGCCCCGTGGAGATCCGGGATAGAATAGGTCTTCAGCAACCCATGCTTGCCGTTAAAGGCGACTTTGCTTGTCGTAAAAAGCGACTAATTATAACGGGATCGGGTGGCCAGGCTCGCTGACTTGGTTGATGCATGTCATCGATCCCAATTGCGGGGATCGATGCTGATGATATCAATCACTGGATTGTCTGGTCCAGACTCGATTATTTACAGACCGCCGTCATATAGCTGGAATATTGCTGAGTGCGGCGTTAAACAACACACCAACCAGCCTTGAACATACATGTGTAACATCAGTACTTAATCGTCCAGTCACAACACGGGGTGTGGCAGGGACGATACATATTAACCCGCTGTTATTTTGAAGGATAAAACACGTTCCGAGGTTTTGGTTGAAAATGTAAACCCGCCTGGGAGGGAAGAATCTAAGGGCCGATGGCCCGCAGGATCTTTCCGACCAGGCGGGTTTACATTTTCAACCAAAACCGAGGATAAATGTTTTATCTGACTTATAAACCGACAAAGTTAATTCTAATTGAGATACGCAATAACGAGGATCTATATATGCGATATAACGAGACTATAAACGCATCCGTGAGCTATGTTGAGTGACGACTACAGGTGTCATGCACGTGCTGGTCGTGCACGCACGCATTGCCCGTGAACGTCTCCGTCATAATGTGGACAGCTTACAGTCGAGTTTCATTTAGTGGCAAGATGTGGGAGAGAGAGGAAGGTGACGATTTATTTCTCACACAAACGAAAACTAAAAATGCAGATGACTGTGACGAAGAACGGCCCGATGAAGATGAATTTGTGTATCGTTTTAAAGTGAAGAAAATCTAGTATTGCGGTTTTTTAAAAAAATAAAGGGTATGGAAGTCCTGGGGACTTACTGTGAAAGACCCGGGACTTGATCTGAAATATGTAACTTTTTATAACGATGAAAATCAAGTCCCCGGGTCATCCACAGTAAGTCCCGGGTTTTTTACGCAAGTAAAACCTCATGTGGGTCTTTCTCAAGTTTGAAGAAACCTAACAATCAATACAAATGAACACTCTGAGGTTTATAAATGATGGTCACACACACATCAGCGTTATGATATCAGCTTTTCAGGCTAAGTGCATCGGCCTATATAATACATTTACACGTCAGCACCAAATACACTTTGGTGATCATAAGTGTTACACCTGACACCGTGATACCGTCAGGTATTATCTGTATATCAATATAAGAGGCGTACTCTGTGTGAAAGGTATCAGCTTACTTAATGTATTAAGTACTGAAATATAGTATTACTCTATGGCGTGAGGAAGTTGTTACTTAAAACTGTTAATACCAGTTATGGCTTTCTTGATGTCTCTATTTATCTGATAATTGAGGATGAATTCCATGTTTTATTAGTATGTGATAAGTATGAACATCTTAGAGAAAAGTATATTCCGATGTTTAACAATAGGCATAAAAACAAGATGTTAATGATCAGTCTTATAAAATCCAAGAGTGAGTGAGTGAGTTGGGTTTAACGCCGCTTTTAACAGTATTCCAGTTATATCACGGCGTGTCAGCTCAATGTGGGAGGAAAGCCCGAAGTGATGCAGGTCTCAGACGTTTACCACTTCGGTGAAACCCACGAGCACTGGTATGGTGCTGACAAACCTAGGAACATAGTCGGGGAAAACCGGGATTCGAACCCACAATCATAGGTTTCTGGCTCGCCCAAGGGACGCAACTCTGCACAGCGAATCGCGGCGCTTAATACGACTGTGCCCCCTGTTGCTAAAGACGAGAAAGTTGTAATCAATCATTAACTCACCCACACTCACATACAGTGTGTTTTGTTTGTTTATTGTTTAACGCCGCATTCAAAAATATTCCATTTACATTCCGTTGGCTGTTAATAATGGAGTCTGGACCAGACACCCCAGTGATCTCTGTTGTGAACAACGGTCCACGTCAGGTACAATGACACGGTATAAACCAAGTTACCGAACCTGACGACCCGATCCATTTGGTTGCCTTGTACGACCAGCACAGATTGTCGGAGACAAATTCTAACCCGAGCTCCCCATGTAGCCTTTATATAAGAAGGGATTTCAAGCGTTTGCTCGGGTTTGCTCCCCATATGGGTACAATGTTGGAAGCCTATTTCTGGTGTCCCCTATTGCTGGAATTTTGCTAAAAGTGGCGTAAAACAATACTCACTCAGTCACTTGATAGTCAAGATGTAGTCATTCCATAGTGAACAGTGAATGGCTCGGAGTTCTGTTTATCCAGCAAACTGTATTTTGGAAGCTTCAATGTTCTATAACAAATGTTATATTTGGGATAACACTTTCTTAGTAAAGTACAGATTCTCGTACTTTTTTGGGTTGAGTCCCGTCCAGGATTCGAACCCACACTTGCAAGAGTGAGGCACCTAATCGCCAGCACACAAAGTCAGCGATCTAACCCACTCAGCCACCGAGGCTTCCACAAACATGAAAGTCCGACAACTGGTAGTCTAGATCACGTACTTTGAGTACCCCTCTGACAAGTGTAAATTGGCACGGCTCCCATGACCGAAAGCTATGAATACACAATGCCATTTAGAAAGTGGTCAAATGTAACAAATGTTATATATTTGGGATAACACTTTCTTAGTAAAGTACAGATTCAATGTTAAATGTTCTAACTTTGTTTCCAACATATTTGATAAAGTAATGAATGCTACATGGCTGAAGATGTATTCATTGTTCCGCATCAGTGCTTTACTGCTACATACAATCTTCAGAAAAATACTTTGCAGTCACTATGATGTAATGACATTAAAATAGGTAGGACTTTTTACACTTTTTCTCCGTAAGACAACATTGAGTTCAATGTGTACTGCGCCAACGACCTTGGTTGATTCATGTCATCGTATCCAAATTGCGTATTTTGATGCTCGTGATGTCAATCACTGGATTGTCTGGTCCAGACTCGATTATTTACAAACCGCCGTTATATACATAGCTGGAATATTTCCGAGTGCGGCGTTGAAGAACAAACAAACAAACTTAAAAGAACCGCCTACAGTTTGAAGGATGTGTGTTGCAATACACATCATCCATGACAGATTAACTACAGTCATGAAAAATCAGGTGTTCCTTAAATTCTTTAGAGTAGTATGTATTTACATGGCTAAGATTTCTTGTTACATGGGGCGGTCGGGTAGCCTAGTGGTTAGAGCGTTCGCTCGTCACGCCGAAGACCGGGTTCGATTCCCGACATGATTACAATGTGTGAAGCCCATTTCTGGTGTCCCCCGCCGTGATATTGCTGGAATAGTGCTAAACGCGGCGTAAAACAATACTCACTCACTCACTCTTGTTACATGGTCATACACAGTGGATGTGCGTCCCTGCATGCATTGATAGGTATCAAATATTTGTTTACCCTTCAGTGTACATATGATATTCCATTATATCCCGTCCATTAGTGTTGTGTATTTCTTATATAATTAAAGAGACATAACAACACACCTAAGATTCGTCATTCCGGACTCTGTAATCCGGAATAAATAGATTACGTGGCATTTGATTGGCTCACCAAGCATTTGTTTGCGAGTAGGTACACCCACGAACGACATACTGTTTCCTGATTGGGTATTTATAAAATGGGCGGGGCTTGTGTTGCACAGAACGATGTCACTGTCGTCTATAGCTTTTAAGTTAACGAACAAATAAGCGATCTGTAAAATTCGCGGATTTACACAGTATGCACACCGATTATTCCACCACGAACGCAAGAAAGTATTGACGTTCAATGCTAACAGGTTTTCCTGGATAAACAAGTTTCAGTTCATCTGCATGTGTCTGCACTAACAAGCCAGTGATTTCAGCTATATGACGGGGTGCCAGTATGCGGTGCAGGTCTAAGACGCTGACCACTTCGGTGAAACCCAAGAGCAAACAACGAATCATTATAACGGCGAATCGGGGATTCGAAACGCTCATTGGTTTCTGGCACGCCTAAGGGAGGTAACTCTGCATAGGCTGTGACACCTCAGAGGAAGCATAGAAAGAAAGATAGTAATTCACACCTGTACATCGATATCCCCATACACATGACGCCGGGCGAGTAAATACGATAAACATTCACCAACCACTTGTTTTTATTGTATGCAAATTTTATTTCCAGATCATTTTGATTAACATATTTCATGCAGTACACTTTACATGATAGTAAGATCATCTCTACCGTTGCAGAATCGGGAACAGGTAAATAATATTGTGGTAAAATATTTCGACCATTTGCGGTAAGCAATTACATTTTGACAAAATCAGATAAAATTATGGAAGATAATAGAATATACAACAAAAAGGGGATATTATTTGACTGTTCAATAAATACGAATTAAAGAGGTACGTTAACACGTTCTGATAAATTATTTTAAAAATTCCCTTAGAAAATACTGTAGATTACTTTCAACTTTCAAGAATGTTAAAGGTTTACAACATCTGAGAGATATCTACTGCCGACAGCAACTAGCTTCACAATACATCATACAGTGTTTCTGTTTCACCTGGCCTCAACAGCATCAATATTAACGACGTTTTACCATTGACGTAAATTTGGTGTGATGCTTTTATCAACAAAGGTTATTGAAGGCTCTGTCCAGGAGGTTAAAGTACTGTAAAATTATTTTCCCTTGTGTGACATGTAATTCCTATAATAAATAATGTAACTATCACCAGCCAGTGTTTTAAGCCAACTCTTTGCTGAGTATTTTGTAGTATTCGCTAGTTCTGTTACACAACCACCAGTAGTTAAAGTGATGACGTAAATCCTTCTGGATGCTGAGGCACCGTACGTCCCTATGATCCCCAGCGAGGATGTTTAGCTTCAGTTGCTGGATGCTAATAGCCAGTGTTTTAAACAGTTGTAAAAAATATTGTTATGATAAAATATGTTTGACAAATTTGTTTTAAAATATAACTTTGTATTCATGACTCAAAATATATCAACTTGTTCTCGTCGCTTTATGGCTGAAATCATGGCGATGCGACGTAAAGTTTTAACTCACTCACTCACCCATTGACGTAGCGTTGCCCTTGACGAGCGCTGAAACACCTGCCGAGGTGTTGTTTCTGCAGTCACAATTTAACTTTTGTTTACTTTGCCTATACAATTTCAGCTAAACTCTATATTCCTACTAAACATATATCTGCCCATGGAATATCTTAACAAGACAAGACAAATTAATGTAGTACCACCATTCAACTTAGCACGAACTTCATATGGGTTACATTGAATTGTGTTTGGTAAGACTGATTTGATAGAGTTGTAATGAATACTTTAAATGCGTCGTGTTGGGTCCTTAACAATAGAGACAGGATTCTGGAACTGTAAATGAGGTAGCTAATGGCTATAAAATAACTGTAGTAAAATAACCAATCAATAGGTTAACAGTACATCATGACTATGTTTTTTGTAACCATGAACTATATTATGTTAAAAACCAACAAATAATAGTATTTCTAAACTAAAACACAAGCTTCTATATACGACTTTGGAGAATACAGGGGAATACATCTTGCTTTATAATTGTTCATGGTCGCTCTCCTTTCCCGTATCGTGATACATAGGTAGGTAGGTCATGTACTTATACATATAGGTAGGTCATGCCAGACGCCTTGACTTAGGTGATCACTTTAGACACAGACACAGTCTCGCCAAAAAGATCTTCCAAGGTCACCGTGACCTTGTTGCCCTGGATCTGCTTCAGGTCAAGGTTCCTCTTCTCCGGATCGACCCCAGACGCGATATGCTTTCCATCTACGTCGATGGTGTAGCTGAACTGCGGCGTGGACGTCTCCGGGACATGCCACTCCACCAGGTCATGGGTAGCCTTGCTGATGGTGAATGTGATAGCTGACTTGGCAGGCTTGGGGGGCATGGTCGTGGCCAGTTTGAAGCTGTGGTGGGTCCCAACTCCTGGATCCGGGTGGACGGTCTTACCTAGCTCCAGGAAGAAATAGTCAGCCTTAGTTCCAGCGTTGTAGTTGTGGTTCCAGTTGGCCGTCTGGGCTCCCTGGTTGACGGAGAAGTTGGCGTTGACGAAAGGGATCCAGGTCTTGTCCAGGCGTCTTTTGTACCCATGACCATAGTGGACCTGTCTCAGAAGGCTTCCATCGCCATGTGCCGAGTAATTCTCCATGAAGGATGACGTGCTGCTCATGAATGTCACATCTGCAATTGGGTAGTCGAAGGTCACCAGATGGGTCCAAACACGGCTGGCTTGGTTTTGAACCCAGTACCCAAAGTGACTGTGCTTGCCCACGTCCCAGCGCCGTACAGCCAGGGTAAACCAGACATCAGGGTCCCAGCCTAGGCTGGTGTTGTCCGAGTGTAGGCCGCTTCCTTCGTGGCCGAAGTGGTGGGACTTGGTCCAGAGACCCTGGTAGGCGGCGGTGATCTTCTCCGTGGTTGTCGTCTTCGGGTCCCACATGGAGAAGATGTAGGTCCTCCCCCTGGGTCCGTGGTCCTGGATCCCACAGTACCCGCCCCCGTCATGGCCTGCGTTCCAGTTCAGACCACTGAAATATGTATCCACCTTGGAGCCTGCATGGAGAAAACAAAGAAATATAAGACAGACACGATGCATCTCTATAACCTGTTAAAGGTCTATACATGTATAGTTGGTCGGTCATCTCAGTAGCTCGTCCATTAATGTTGAACGAAATGACTCTGCTCCAGATCCGCCGACCAAACTTTTAACAACGTCTAGGACCTTTTCCAACAAAGAAAAATAAACTTCAAAGATCACTTTAGGACCTTTTAACATTATCGTTATTCAGTAAGTTCACCAGACATTACATTAAACTGAACTGTTTCAGAAACATATTATGTCAACCACCGACCCTACGGTTTGGGAAAACTATTTCGTTAGTCTAGTGTTTAAAATGTTTCAGATACGATTTACTTGGGTGTTATCTTTTCAAAATGTATCCATTGTTTGTGAATAATTACGTGATGTACCAACCGTCCTTAGGGACCTGGACATCGATCATGATGATGTCCCCCTTCTCATGGTCCCCGTAGTTCAGATGTTCTGCCGGTGCTCGGTTTGTCGTCATTTTTAATGTAGAGTCGTCTTGAAAACAAAGTATAAAGCAACACTTTTGAATAGGAACACAGTGGCACAGTATCTAGCATTATGCTCGCTCGCTCACTCAGTCACTCATTCTCCCAACCATCCATGCACCAACTCACGCACTCACACACTCTCACCCACTAACTCACTCGCCTACCCACCCCATCCACCCACCCACTCACTCACTCACCTATTCACTCATTCACTCACTGCTCAAATACCCATCCGGGTTTTTTTTAAGAATTAACACGTTTCTTTAGTACCAACGGCTTTCGACAATATATATTTTCTGCACACGAGATTACATGATTCACAACTCGGTTTTTTGTTTGGGTTCATTCGGGTCCAGAAAACGCAAATCGGAAAATACCGTTGCTGCCAGGATACGAAGGCAATGAGAGCACCTGAGCGTCACAATGTTGAACACGTACCTTTTCACATTCAAAAATGACCCTTTAATGCCTATCCTAAAATTGTTCGGTTTCCAGGAAAAGTTTGTAAAAAATCTAAATCAAATTGACTACCCCCTTATATGTCAGGTAGAATGACGTGCACTGTTTGACCCGGCGAAACGGTACTCTGCATACGTAGAAGGTAAAGGTGAAGGTGAAGGTGAGGTGAAGGTGAAGGTTAGATTTTCACGGAAGAGTCGTTGGTCACCATGGAAAATTTCATTTGTCAATCAGGTTACACTAGAATTGGGACAGTCTTTTCGGAAAGAGTATAATAAAATCAACAGTAGATTACTGAAATGTGTTTGTTTCACAACATGAAATAATTAGTTTATGAGCCCTGACACGTTTTAAAATCAAAGTCCTTTTTAATGTAGTTTAAAGTTTAAATATTCTAAAGCTGCGAACAAGATTTAAATGGTCTCTGACGTATTCATGTACACGTTTGATTAAAGAAATGTGTTAAAACGAGTGAAAACTGTCATTCTAGAATATTAAAAACAATACGATTGTTATGGATTTACCTACATCGCTTATAAGAAAATAAGCTGGGATTATCGACTAGATGACGTTTTGATATCTGAATAATGCTTTCAGAAAAACTCTAAAATCAGCCTTTGGCACTTGTGCGCCCCATCTCTACAACTGATGTAGTTATAGGTCTAAAACAGGCAATTGTTGGCAATCTTATTCTCATACGGGAGCACGGGCGGCCCCGTGGTCTAAGGCGCCGCGATTCGCTTTGCAGAGTTGCGTCCCGTGGGCACGCCAGAAACCTATGATTGTGGGTTCGAATCCCGCTTCGCCTCGATTATGTATCTATGTTTCCCAGCACCATACCCGTGCTCGTGTGTTTCACATAAGTGGTAAACGTCTGAGGCCTGCATCACTTCGGGCTTTCCTCCCACATTAAGCTGACACGCCGTGATATAACTGGAATACTGTTAAAAGCGGCGTTTAACCCAACTCACTCACTCACTTATTCTCATACCTTTGGGCCCAAGTGATAACCTTCATTCCCTTTTATAAAAGTGTTCCTTATGTCATAACATATTCAAACTTGGTTGGGGATATCGTCCTTGCTATATCGTGTCCTTTGTTAAAATAATTTCGTGATAAAATACAAAGAAAAAAAGCAGAAAAAATAAGTCCGTTGAGGATAATGACATTATACAATGTCATCATTTTCTGAAAACCTATGGCTTATGATCAGGGTGAAACTGGGTTTCGAGCACGCCATCTTGGATACTGGGCCAACCGTGCCGCCAACAGCACCATGTGTGTACGTATTGTACATGAAGTTTGAAGCATTATTAGGAAAATATAAAAACACAAATAATTGACTATCGTGTTATATTGTGTAATGTAGGTTATTGTGAATTAGACGTCACTGTACTTATTCTGACGATTCGCATCTTCATTACTCTGTTCCTTGTGATCTTTAACAAATATCGGGGCGGTCGGGTAGCCTAGTGGTTAAAGCGTTCGCTCGTCACGCCGAAGACCCGGGTTCGATTCCCGACATGGGTATAATGTGTGAAGCCCATTTCTGGTGTCCCCCGCCGTGATATTGCTGGAATATTTCTAAAAGCGGCCTAAAACCATACTCACTCACTCACTTTAACAAATATACCTATGAACAGGAAATACATCCAGTTAACCGATATTCAATTGAACACTATAGAGGCATGGACCAGATGGTTGCATCGCACATCTGAAAGTTAATGTTCAAGTCAGCTAGGGTTCACTCGAACGAGAAACCCAATGAAATGCCGCACCACATGAGTGAGTATGGTTTTACGCCGCTTTTATCAATATTCCAACAATAGGTGGTGAGGTGAAATGGGGTATAACGTCGTGTCCAAGATTTTTGCACTTATATAGCGACGTGCATGTACGTGTGTTTGTGTGGCTGCTTGTACTAGTCCGGACTGATGCCGATTTATAGGGCTAGTACACTGATATACTATGCCGCAGCTTAACATGAATACCCCTCTCAGACAGTATACTGACTCCGAGCCGACCAGTCCTTGTTTTAGCCCCTTAATGCCGAGCGCCAGACAGGGTAAGAACAAGTACCATCTTTTAATGTCTTTTGTTATGACGCGGCCGGGGGTCGAACCCCGGACCTTCCGCTCTCCGGGCGGACGCTCTACCACTAGACCACGGAGGCGGTCCTCAAACAATATCATGCCGGGCGACACCAGAACAGAAATAGGCTTCACAGTTTGTACCCATGTGAAGAATCGAACCCGGGTCTTCGGCTTGACGAGCGAACGCTTTGACCACAAGGCTACCCACCACCAACAACCCCTACTATAGAAAATAAATGTATGTTTTGAACTGACTGCCGCTGAGATAATCAAATAAAGGTCAGTCCATCAATGCATAAAGATATGGTTAATACATGATCACATTGGTAATAAGAAGAGCAAGAGCAATAATTACCTGGTTGCAGCGAGAAGAGACGCGTGATGGAGGGACGCTGTCCGTGCTGTATTTATAGTAACGCTGGCTTGTTTACACTGGTCAGCCGAGACAATAACATCAGCATCAGGAATACAGGTCAGCACATCGTATGTACACTTAGGATTATCGGTCAGGGCTAATTAGTAAGCTTCTAAATTAACCTGCACGACACGCTCAAGGGTCAGGAATATGTATATCGGGTATGTTAAAGTGGAACTATCAAGGCAGAATGAGCAATTTGAAGTCAATGAGTGTTTGTTTGTTTGTTTGTTTGACTGTTTAATGCCGCACTCAGCTATATTCAAGCTATGTGACGGCGATCTGTAAATAATGGAGTTTGGACCAGACAATCCAGTGATTGACATCATGAGCATCGATGGACGCAATTCGGGATACGATGACAGCTATAAACAAAGTCAGCGAGCCTGACCACTCGATCCTGTTAGTCGCCTCTCACGACACGCAAAGTCGCCATTTACGGCAAGCATGGGTTGCTGAGTGAGTGAGTGAGTGAGTGAGTGAGTGAGTGAATTTGGTTTAACGATAGTTTCAACGGTTTCCCCGTTAAATCACGGCGTGTCAGCTTGTCTTAAGAGGTGACTAGTATAGGGGATTGGGTGGTCAGGACCTGTGACATGGGTAAGTGCTGCTCAGTTACGCTCTCAGTCACCGGTTTGTCTGGTCCAGACCTGATTATTTACAGGCTACAGTGGTATAACTGAGGTATTGCCGAGTCTTAAAAGAACATTTACGACATTGTTTATTTAAACGCCTCAAACGTGGACCGGGTGGTGAAAAGACTCAAACGTTATGGTAATAATAATGTGTACCCCTTTCATGCGAGTTGTTACATTAATGGGACGGATAATTCAGTCGTCTAAGGCGCCGCATTTGGCTGTGCAGAGTTGTCTGCCTTTGATGTGTCAGAATCCTGTAATCATTGCCTCGAAACCCAGAAAACTGAAATACTGTACAAAGCGGCACTTTCCCGAATCATTCATGATGGAGGGGCTATTTTGTCTTCGATGACACGTGTTTGATACTTTAATAAAATCTTCAATTCACCGACAGAATATTTACTGAGGTCGTATTTTGTCGTCCGGATTCCACTTTTTGAGGCACAATTAATGCACTGTGTATTTGTTGTTTTACGCCGCACTCATAAATAGTCCAACTATATAACAGCTGGCTGTGAATAATCGACCCTAATCCGGTCAAGCCACTGATTGATATTATGAGCAACGACCACCGCTCTCGAGGTACGTTTACACGCAGTCATCTAAGTCCCCGAGCCTGACCACCTGATCCATTAAGTCGCCTGACCCGTGAAGATCCGGGGTAGAATAGGTCTTCAGCAACCCATGCTTGCCGTAACAGGCGACTATGCTTGTCGTAAGAGGCGACTAACGGGATCGGGTGGTCAGGCTCGCTGACTTGCTTGATGCATGTCATCGTATCCCAATTGCGTGGATCGATGCTCATGATGTCAATCACTGGATTGCCTGGTCCAGACTCGATTATTTACAGACCGCCGTCATATAGCTGGAATATTGCTGAGTGCGGCGTCAAACAAACAAACAAACAAACAAACAAAAAATTAAGACGCCTATCACGACAGGCATGGACTGATCCTGCATCGGAGTCCCGCGACAATGTTACACAAACAATTCTCAACACGAGGACTATAAGACACAAAAATAGGACCTGCACTAAGTGAACTCTTCAACGTGATATATAGTTTTTCTCTAGTGCCCACTCACTTGCATCCTGTTTGTGTTTATATGTACATACTGTACTTCACTGCTGTAGACAATATCACCACCGCAAGCTGTATAGCATGTTGATAGGTTACCGTGGCCATGGACAGTAAAGCAGGCTGTTTTTCCCCTTGTGTTTATTGCTAAATTGTACACCAACAACCTGTTTACATGTGCGCGTCATAATTTTAACATGTTGAACTGTTAATCCGTCAAATAGTGACGTCATTGAGTATTGTTCAACTTCTAGGGTCCGTTCCACAAAGCTATCGTAGCCCTAAAGTTATCGAAACTCTCGAACCTTAACATAGACTTACGACTGTCGTTGAGCTACGATCGCTTTGTGGAGCGGGGCCCTGGTGCGGCAGTCTTAGCAATTGACAACTAAGTTTTTTGGTGGATGTGGCAGTTAAAACGTTTTTAACGTAGATCTGAAAAGAAAAAGCAGCAAAGTAAAGAATAGGCTTTATCGTCTATCATAGTCTGTTTCTTCGATACAGCGTAGAACTCACATGCCTTTTAGATATTCCTTGGCCAGTACTGCAAAGAACGGAAGCCTAGTGGGGCCAAAGTGATTTTTTTGTGTGTCTAAGTATCTCCACCGTAGGATTTATTATCTCCTACGTAGGACTTAATTTCTTCTACGTAGGACTTAGTATCTCCTACATAATACTTAGTATCTCCTATGTAGGACTTAGTATCTCCTACGTAGGACTTAGTATCTCCTACGTAGGACTTAGTATCTTCTACGTAATACTTAGTATCTCCTATGTAGGACTTAGTATCTCCTACGTAGGACTTACTATCTCCTATGTAGGACTCACTATCTCCTACGTAATACTTAGTATCTCATATGTAGGACTTAGTATCTCCTACGTAGGAGATACTAAGTCCTACGTAGGAGATAGTGCTTCTAGGCCATACTAAGTCCTACGAAAGAGATACTAAGTCCTACGTAGGAGATAGTAAGTCCTACGTAAGATATACTAAGTCCAACATAGGAGATAGTGGTTCTAAGCCATACTAAGACCTACATAGGAGATACTAAGTCCTACGTAGAAGATACTAAGTCCTACGTAGAAGATACTAAGTTCTACGTAGAAGATACTAAGTCCTACGTAGGGGATACTAAGTTCTACGTAGGGGATACTAAGTTCTACGTAGGAGATACTAAGTCCTACGTAGAAGATACTAAGTCCTACGTAGGGGATACTAAGTTCTACGTAGAAGATACTAAGTCCTACGTAGAAGATACTAAGTCCTACGTAGAAGATACTAAGTTCTACGTAGAAGATACCAAGTCCTACGTAGGGGATACTAAGTTCTACGTAGAAGATACTAAGTCCTACGTAGAAGATACTAAGTTCTACGTAGGAGATACTAAGTTCTACGTAGAAGATACTAAGTCCTACGTAGAAGATACTAAGTTCTACGTAGGGGATACTAAGTTCTACGTAGGGGATACTTAGACCAAAAAAATTCACCGTGGCCCCACTACGCTTCCGTAGCAAAGCCAGTATAAATTTTATCTTGTAAAACTTACAAACACTCTAAGCCATTACGTTTATAGTTCAAACGTGCTTTGTACAATTTCCTATGAACCAGGTGTGCGTACATTATACTCTTATCTGTAAGTACCCTTTTTGTTTTATTGATGTAAGTATAATTCAAGAAACAAAAGTAATAATATTTATCTGTTAACGACATACGGCAGTCGAAACAAATATATTGTCCCCGAAAATTGTGAAACAATTAATTATTCTTCAGTCTTTATATAAACATGAAATTACTTGCCACAAAAAATACATTCTTGCAAGGTGTTATGCTTAACAAAAGATTTATGCTGGTAGTTTTAAATAAGAAAATATATCTGGTTTTGTAGCTGCTGCTGAAAAATATCTAATCTCCATACAAAATCCCAGGCGGGGGCACGGGTGGCCCAGTCGTCTAAGGTGCCGCGATTCGCTGTGCAGAGTTGCGTCCCTTGGGCATGCCAGAAACCTATGATTGTGGGTTCGAATCCCGGTTCGCCCCGATTATGTTTCTAGGTTTGTCAGCACCATACCCGTGCTCGGGGGTTTCACCGAAGTGGTAAACGTCTGAGACCTGCATCCCTTGGGGCTTTCCTCCCACATTAAGCTTACACGCCGTGATATAACTGGAATACTGTTAAAAGCGGCGTTAAACCCAACTCACTCACTCACTCACAAAATCCCAGGCTCCCTTCCCGCTCCCCCTCCATACATTTCATTTATGGCAACAAGAGGGGCGTAAAATTATTCCATACATGTATTTGTCAATAAGAACAGAGTATATATATTCCATATTTGTTAATAAGAGGAGAGTTTAGTTGTTGTGCCATATTTGTCAATAATGGGAGATTATATTTATTCCATGCTTGTCAAAAAGAGGAGAGTATAGTAATGTCATATTTGTCCATATCTTTTATACTCTCGTCTTGTTGACCAATAACGGAATAGCTATACTCTCCTCTTGTTGACAAATGTGGCTTAATTATACCATCCCCTTATTGACAAATGATGGAATAACTATACTCTCCTAATATAAACAAAATATGGAATAACTATACTCTCCTCTTAATAGCAAATGATGGAATAACTATACAATCCTCATATATAAAACATATGGAATAGCTATACTCTCCTCTAAATAGCAAATGATGGAATAACTATACACTCCTCATATAAAAAAATATGGAATAGCTATACTCTCCTCTTAATAGCAAATGATGGAATAACTATACTCTCCTCATATAAAATAATACGGAATAATCATACTCTCCTCTTAACTATGGCATAATTATATTATACTAATGGACAAATATGACATTACTATACTCTCCTCTTTTTGACAAGCATGGAATAAATATAATCTCGCATTATTGACAAATACGGTACAACAACTATACTACACTATATACAACAACTATACTCTCTTCGGTTCTAGAAAGCGTTTTCTCTATATCACAGTTATAAATTCAGATTTTGGCTATAAAGGGTATTTTATAAATATTCGATGATATATGTTCTATTCATAAGATCAGTCATCAATACAATACCTAACAACCAGATGTGGTGTCTGCCAACTAACTAATCTTAGATTAGCCCAGATAATGGGGTCAGCCGATACAGCAGGTCAGGTCATGCGAGCATACAATAAGAGTGAGTGAGTGAGTGAGTGAGTGAGTGAGTGAGTGAGTGAGTGAGTGAGTGAGTGAGTGAGTGAGTTTGTGAGTAAGAGAGTGAGTGAGTGAGTGAGTGAGTGAGTGAGTGAGTGAGTGAGTGAGTGAGTGAGTGAGTGAGTGAGTGAGTGAGTGAGTGAGTGAGTGAGCGAGCGAGCGAGGGAGGGAGGGAGGGAGGTTATAATCCGCTTTTAGCAACAGTCAAACAGTGTCAGGGCTTGGGGCACCAGAAATGGACGCCACATACAATAAAATATCGTGTGACAAGAGCTTACATGGGTATAACACGAAAATGTCAGTGTGACAGTTTTCAAACATTCCATACATCCTTTATGAAGTTCTAAATGCAATGTATGTATTTTAATTGCTTAATTATTCCAGTGAGTGATTGCTGATGATATAAACATGTCGACTGTGAGGGGGGCGCAGACGCGGGGACCCGGAGGGCATCTGTCCTCCCTACTACAACATGTCAATGATGTTCATTATGCATACATGTGCATATTTGGAGGAATAAATTTGAATACGTCATGTAAACTGTAGCAATTAATTATCAAAGCGAATATTGTCCTGAGTGCATGGCTTGATATACGAGCGCCATTAAAGCTTGAAGATGCTCGTAGCAGCACGATTTGAACTTGCATAAACAGTTAAATCCTGTTAATCGGAACGCCTTGTCATTCCGGGCAATCTTCTCGACAACGTCTGTTCATTTGCGATAGGAACTACTACGTACATGCGACGCGATTGTGGACAGTTTGCTTGGAATAGTGGTGTCCGGATTAACGAGGTTTCAATGTAAGAAAATATATATTATCATTATTTGTTAAGATTGCTGATGTTCGGTATTTTATGCATCAGTGTTCCCACGGATGCCCTTAACTTATATTCACTGTTAATATGTAGGCATGGGTGGATGAGTCGTCTAAGGTGTAGCGATTCGCTGTACAGAGTTGCCTCCCTTAAGCGTGCCAGAAACCTGTGATTGTGGGTTCGTATCACAGAATCGCGTTTCATGGTATGTCTGCACAATAGCCGTGATCGTTGGTTTCAACGAATAGTTACACGTCTAAGATTTGCGTAACTTCGAGCTTTTCTCCCGAGAGTGAGTGAGTTGGGTTTAGCGCCGCTTTTAACAGTATTCCAGTTATATCACGGCGTGTCAGCTTAATGTGGGAGGAAAGCCCCAAGGGATGCAGGTCTCAGACGTTTACCACTTTGGTGAAACCCACGAGCACGGGTATAGTGCTGACAAAGCTAGAAACATAATCGGGGCGAACCGGGATTCGAACCCACAATCATAGGTTTCTGGCATGCCCAAGGGACACAAATCTGCACAGCGAATCGCGGCGCCTTAGACGACTGGGCCACCCCTGCCCCCCCCCCCCCCCCCCCCCTTTTCTCCCGAGAAACGCCCTGATATACTTGTACCTGAAATGCTAAAACCAAACTCACTCACTCAGTGTTAGCTATAAACCATGATTTGCGCATTGAAAAACACCCTAAACTATTCCAAAACGTAGCAAATTGACAACTTCACCCGTTTGCATTATTCTAAAGTCATGACATTACTATTACTGCGTATTCAGAAGCAATGAGCCTCACACAAGAAACTGTTAAATAAAATATGCAAATGACGTCATATATAATATATCTTTTAGCTATATTGAATCACGTGTGGCGGCTCTCTGTTGTATCGGTCCCGACTGTCCTCAGGAGACATGCTGACAAATGAACGCAGAGTTGAAGGGAGAGCACATCCGGGTAATTGACAATCCTCGTGAACCTCCGTGACGTCAAATCACGACAAGACGTTATATACAACCTGTCTTCAGTGGTTAGACATAACTGGCTGTTAGAAAGGGCACGGTCGGTATAAATAGATACCAGATCTTTCATTTGGGCATTCAGGTAAAAGGTCCAGAGTCCCGTGAGTATAAGGCTGTGTTTTGACGTGGCTATTTGGTAAAAGTGTACGCTGCGTGGTATAGTTGGTGTTGCATACGTAACGTTCGTAAGATATATTTTCAAATATGTTTCTTATATACTAAAATCTAATTCCTGTCTCGAATTTGGCTCACGAACTAATACTAATACTAGCGTCATCACTATTTGTTAGTTATTCATAAACACAAGAATTATATTTCTTATAATGGTGGAAAGTGTTTTATCGCTTTTATTTATATAAAACCTTTCTCCTCAAATCTGAAGTTTAAAAAATCTAATATTTGTTATTTCATATTCAATCATCATTAATTCTCATTACGAGATACAGTAAACTACGGTTATAACGAACTCAAAGGGACCACTAAATTTAGTTCGTTATAACCGTAGTTCGTTATAAACATATTTACAGCAAATGGACGGGACCAAAAAACAGTTCGTTATATCCGTCAGTTCGTTATAAGTGTGTTCGTTATAAACGTAGTTAACTGTATCTCGTAATGACAATTAATGATGATTGAATATAAAATAACAAATATTAAATTTAATCCGGACAATAACATTTCCGGTGAAATTGTCCGGTTAAACACATGTCTCATTTAGACCTCGTGGCTTCAGAGTACTGTGAGTCTGCATCATTTAAATATTAAACGTCAATGCCAGAGAATAACCAGTCTCGGTTATCCGCCGAATTAGGTTCGATTTCTCGTAACAGGCAAAATAGAGGTGAATATTGTATGAAGTGACACAGAAAATCATCGATGACACCAGGTGTTCGTGAAACCTGGTGTCAAAACCTGTTCACTCTCTGCCCTACCGGTAAGCACCCGCCGCTAACACGATTGGCATAAAATGTTTGTTGTCTGACCCCGTAAAGCAGTAACCCCCCCCCCCCCCCCCCCCCCCCCCACCCACACACACACACACACACCCCATACGACGGCGGTCTGCAAGCAAACGAGTCTTGACCAGACCATCTAGATCTAGACAATAACGATATTTTAATTTTGAATTGCGTCTGCTGAGTACAGGTGCAGAGATGAGGATGCTCATAAGTAACGAGGAACGTTTAAGACAAATGTTCTTGCAACTTTGCAACACAGTTGGGGGCGCTTTCAGTGTCTCGGCCAAGCATTTTAGTTGACAGAGCACAATTGATAAATGCGATTATGATGAAACTCGAGGACTTCCAAGCAGTATGTGCCCGGAATATGGGGTTTCTAAAACAACAAGGTCCTGATAAACGAGGTTTCATTGTACATTCATAGACGAACTCTAGTTACACTTAATACAAATGGCTCATAGATGTAGGTTATTCAAATATGGATAGGATAGGCGAGTTTCTAGCTTCATGTTTATTGATACAACTCTTCATGCAACAGACAGATGGCGAATGACTTTATCAGGACATAAACGTATAAAGGTAGCGTTTGTTTTATCCCTATACAGTGAGTGAGAATGGTTTTGCGCCGCTTTTAGCAGCAATACTTTAAGAAATATCACGGCGGAAGATACTATTAATGAGCTTCACATATGTGGGGAATCGAGCCCGGCGTAACAAGCAAACGCTTTACCAAGCTTGACTGCCCCGCCGCCCATCCCGATAACGTTCTTCCACGAGTCTATGCCCACGAGACCAGAACCATGCCCTGAATCCAATGAATAACACATTCGTATATAACATAAACAGTTAAAGCAACAGGCGCGCCCCAGTTTCCACTTTAGGCTCACGGGTCCTCGGTCTAGACACCTGAGTAAAGATGGGTGCACCGTGTTTGAAATTAACATCCCCCTATAATCTACTGTCAGTGTTGAAGTGGTTTCACTCTTTTCTTACAGATCTTAAACAGACGCGATGGAGCGTCTTGTCCTTCTCTTCATCACCGTCGGCACAGTCTTATCACTTGGTAAGTGTTCAAGCAATGTTACTGTCACGATAAAATATTTATTATGATACTGTGTTACTATGGTGGCCTAGAGGGGACATCGCTTTATCGACTTCAACTACGGTCGCGAGATAGCGATAGAGCGATAACACGAGTCGAGAAAACGATAGCATGAGACGAGAAAGCGATACCGGGGGATGAACAAGTGATATTTTCTTGCGCAACAATATCACTTTCTCGTCTCGTGTTATCGCTTTCTTGTCTCATATTATCGCTTTCTCGTCTCGTGTTATATCCTTCTCGCATCGTGGTATGGCTTAATCTCGCGGTCGCAACTGTTGTCGATAAAGCGATGTACCCTCTCGGCCACAATATATAACTGTTAGTACAGCAATTGAAAACGTTATAAATTCATTCTTGAAATCTGAAGGTTTCCGTGTAACATTCCGGAAATAAAGTAACTAACAAACAGAACATATTATTACACTGATTCGGATGGTGGTGTTACAGTTGTCTTGGGGCGGTCGGGTAGCCTAGTAGTTAAAGCGTTCGCTCGTCACGCCGAAGACCCGGGTTCGATTCCCGGCATGGGTACAATGTGTGAAGCCTGGTGTCCCCCGCCGTGATATTGCTGGAATATTGCTAAGAGCTGCGTAAAACCACACTCACTCACTACAGTTGTCTGAGGTGCTCCAATCCTCTGTGCAGAGTTGCGTCCCTTGGGCTCGCCAGAATCCTCAAATCGTTGGTTTGAATCCCAGATTCGCCCCGATTATGTTTCTAGACTCGTGATCGGCGGTGACCGTCAGTGACCTGCATCACTTCGTGCTTAAACCCCACACCAAGCTGACACGCCGTCGTATAGCTGAAATACTCACCCACTCGTTACTACGCTTAAGTTTAATAAAGGGTAGATGAGGTAGGCAATACTGAAGACTTCAAACCATGTACAGTCCAACCTCGTTATCTCGTACCCTGTTATCTCGAATGAACCGATGTCTCGAAACTATTTTCCGGTCCCGACCGCCCGACTTTATAATTGACAATATACAATATACAATAAATTGACCCGCTTATCTCGAATTCGAGATAAAAATCCATAGCGCTGTCTCGAACCCAAAATGTGACTTAACTCGACTTTTGTATCACTATCTTGAAGGATGCATGTGCCACAATAACAATTTTGAGAAGGGGGTCGACTGTATATATGAACACTACAATGGTCTTCACATTCCGGGGCGGTCGGGTAGCCTAGTGGTTAAAGCGTTCGCTCGTCACGCCGAAGACCCGGGTTCAATTCCCGACATGGGTACAATGTGTGAAGCCCATTTCTGGTGTCTCCCGCCGTGATATTGCTGGAATATTGCTAAAAGCGGCGTAAAACCATACTCACTCACTCTTCACCTTCCCCCTCCTTCATCCACAGATTGCAGTGGTCCGGCCGACATTGTCATAGCAGTACCAGGATCCGAAACTGTGCCAAAATCTCAGTTCCGATTCCTGGAGAATTTCCTCACCCAGCTGGTGAGCTACTACAACATTGCACGGGATAACACCAGGGTAGGCCTGGTCTTGTATGGCAGAGAACCCGTGGTCATTGCCGACTTGCACCAGGGAGTCACACGCCAGACTGTGAACTCAAGAATAACACTCCTGTCTCAAAGAAAATTATACACTGCTGACATTTCTGGGGGACAGAATGTTCCCAAAGCCATCCAGAAGGTCCATAAGTTACTCTCCGCTGGGAGAGGCGCTGTACCTAAAATTGGCGTTATCATGACCTACGGTGGCGCCGATCTGACGTCACCGGATGCCCAGACTGTCATTGCGCGCATATCAAGTGCATCGGCTGCAGCGTTGAACGATGGGATCAACTTGTTTGCTACCAATACAGGAGGCGGGTTGCCAGGCTTTGTCAACATCACCATGGATACCTGCAGGTTGTTCAGCCTGGGAAATTACGACAATCTTGAGACTCTTTTGCCGTACTTAGCGAGTTCAACGTGTTATGGTGAGTGTTTTATGTTTTTGGGGAACCGGTTATGTGTTCATTGAACCAAGCTGATAAATGTCGATATTGAATGTAAACGATTCATGCTCTTGTGATAAATACATACTAGGGGAACTTGTGACCAGTCGCCTAAGGCGCTGGAATTTGTTGTGTAGAGCCAGAAACCTATGATCGTTCGTTCGAATCCCGATAATGTTTCTGGGATTGTCAGGACCATACCCTTGGGTACCTCGTGGGTTTCACCAAAGGGGTAAACGTCTTAGACTTGTATCACTTCGGGCTTGGAATACTGTTCAAAGCGGGCTTAAAGCAAACTCACTCACTCACTCACTCACTCACATATCCTCGCGTACTGTGTTTTCGAGCCCATAAGGAGTATTTCTCATTACGTGTCTAATAATAATCAGGGGCGGTTGGGTAGCCTAGTGGTTAAAGCGTTCGCTCGTCACGCCGAAGACCCGGGTTCGATTCCCTACATGGGTACAACGTGTGAAGCCCATTTCTGGTGTCCCCGGCCGTGATATTGCTCGAATATTGCTAAAAGCGGCGTAAAACAATACTCACTCACTCACTCTAATAACAATCACACTACACTAAAACTAAGACTTACCTTTGAGAACATTTGTTTCTGTTTACAATTGGATAGTCAAATGACCACATCTTGTCAAATTAATCGCGATAATGCCTCGCCAAGTGAGACGAGTCAATCAGGCGCCATCTTGTTACCGTCACCTGATTTTGTGCCCCGCCATGACAGTCAAGTTAAAAATAGATGCACAGCATGATCAGTCACATGACATAACAGACAGGAGGTTTACAAACAGCAGTCGATACATAATTGGTGCATACGATTGTTCTGTTGCAAAATTATCATCCAATCAAGGTTCATTAAAATATACATCAGTGAAAAGTTTTGAGGTATGTTTTCATTACTTTTTGAATATCTTACCTCGTATAGCTTAATTCGTAACATAACTTCAGCGGCAGGTGGCGAACTCTTTGATGTCTACAGTGAGCCTTGATTTCTTCATTAAGCGCAATGTTACATATTGTTTAGGGGCTCGAAAACATGTTACGTGGGAATATAAATAAAAACAGTTGTAACCTACGTTGTGGATGTGGATATGGTTATTCTATGCGATCTTAGCGCTAAGATGATCGTAACTCATTAACATAGGCGTGGTCTAGTGGTAGAGCGTCCGCCCGGAGAGCGGAAGGTCCGCAGTTCGATGCCCGCCCGCGTCATACCGAACGACGTTTAAAGATGGTACTTGTTGTTACCCTGTCTGGCGCTCGGCATTGAGGGGGTAAAACAAGGACTGGTCGGCTCGGAGTCAGTATACTGTGTCTGAGTGGGGTATTCATGTTAAACTGCGGCATGGTATCTCAGAGAGCTAGCACTATAAATCGGCATCAGTCCGGACTAGTACAAGCAGCACCCCATGAGATCTGCATCCCATCTTCGTCCCCCTTTAAACTGACATGCCTTGATATAACTGGAATACTGTTAAAAGCTGCGTTAAACCCAACTCACTTGCTCACATACATGGATTAACGTGTTTTGTCTATCAGTTCTAGATCCCAGCGTCAATCCATCACCGCTACAGTGTTTCCCAGGTAGGTACTGCTACGTTTGTGTTGTATTGTTAACCATCACAACTGATACGATACAGACTAACACATATTCTAGATAATGGAGACGTGGCATTTAATTAATACGAATACAAGTTGATATAAAACTTTCACTTGCCTTTTTAAAACTCATGGCATAACAAGATGTAAATTGAATAAAGAGACAAATTGAAGTATCGTGACGAAGACCATAGTCCACACGATCAAGCGCTTCAAAAACCAGTTGGGCAACCCCTAGCCTTGCCCGAAGGCTGTACTGAATGATATATTTCATAGCTTGTAAGTCAGTGCGTTTATGGGGGCATACAAGTCTGTGAGCACACTCTGTAAATCCGCGTAACTATGCGTGCATATTGGTTTTTATAAGTCTATAACTCCATAAGCGCAAACACAAAATGAAGTCAATTCTTATAAAAAGAAGTACGTCAACAATTATAGTTTGCTTTTTAATCATTTAAAAAAAATTTTTTTTATTGTTGTTTAACGCCGCACTCAGCAATATTCAAGCTATATGACGGCGGTCTGTAAATAATCGAGTCTGGGCCAGACAATCCAGTGATTAATATCATGAGCGTCGATCCACGCAATTGGGATCGATGACATGCATCAACCAAGTCAGCGAGCCTGACCACCCGATCCCGTTAGTCGCCTTTTACGACAAGCATAGTCACCTTTTACGGCAAGCATGGGTTGCTGAAGACCTATTCTACCCCGGAAAATCATTAAAATAACATCACTGTTGACAACGAAACGAAATCAGTGCTATCGTTCAGCGAAATAATGCTACACCAGTCCTGACAATCAGGAAACACTAGTCCGTTCGTGAGTGTGACCTGGGGGTAATGTTTATCGGTTTGTTGAAACATGAAGGCAAAACATAGGCGGCTCCAGAGGGGTTGGGGGTTGGGGGTCGGCGGGGGGAGGGAGAATTTTGATATTTCGGACCCCTCCCTTTTACGTAGGCTGGTTCCGCCCTTGCAAACGCCACAGGATCATTTGAAATCTAATTATATGATGGTGGTCTGATCACAATCTGCTATATCTTTTTTTTATAGCTAAATGGATAGAATTATCATAAAAACGCCCGCATGTTATCAGAAATGAGCGAGCCACTGTAACTTGATAATGCCCTCATATTACTTGACGACGGGCCATTATCACGCCCGTTGTTAGGTGACGTCATAGGATAGGGATAGGTGACGTAACGTTCAATAGTGACGTTATCTGGTTTGTTCTATGACGTTTCCATATTTGTAAAAGTGGGTCAGTGACATTCGTGTTGATTGCAGTAAATGTTTCAAAATCGACATTGTTGTTTCTTTTTATTTGATAACAAATTCCATCCATTTTAGCTATAATAACGGTAACGCTATTTTTCAGGGCATTATCATTTGCAGAAGCCCTCGGTCTTTTCTACTGCCCTCCTTCGTCGGGAAGACCTCGGGCTTCTGCAAATGATAATGCCCTGAAAAATACCGTTACCCTTATATTATTCTGTTTCCAGATGTCCAGTCTCCGCCTCCACAGGAGATGTTCCAGTGCCAAACCCAGGCCGTCTATGTAGCAGACCCCCAAAACTGTGCCTACTACTACGTGTGTCCCATGGGGATCCGCATGCTCTGTGCCCCCGGGTCTCTTTTCGACCCCATCATCAGCAGGTGTAACAGCAAGGAGGCGGTGTCGTGCTATACCGGAGTCACCTGCCCGGCCCCCAAAGGACTGTTTCCTCACCCCTGGGACAACACTAAGTTCTTATCTTGTTCCCAAAACATCCCCTATGTTAATGACTGCCCCGGGGGTCTCGTGTTTTACCCACTGAAATCCGAGTGTGACTACCCAGACAATTCCGTTGCGACCTCATACTAAATGAGACTAAATATACAAGAACAAATTTGATGGTATTATTTGGAATTAAAGCTGTCAACCAATTCTGAATATGCTTTCACGGTCATTATAGAAACATGTGATTGTCATTGTCAAACATATTTGTACATTTCACAACTCTTGAGGTACAACCGAACATGCTCTTTCAACGAAGATTTCAAAGAGCGATATGATTAATTAAAAATGCTCATGATATAGTCGGGACGGTCGGGTAGCCTAGTGGTGCAAGCGTTCGCTCGTCACGCCGAAGACCCGGAATGGATTCCCGACATGGGTACAATGTGTGAAGCCCATTTCTGGTGTCTCCGTGATATCGCTGGAATATTGCTAAAAGCGGCGTAAAACCATACTCACTCACTCACTCATGATATAGTCGGAATCGTATTTACAAAGTCGACTTAAGCCGCGATTTCTATGGTTTGTTTGTTGTTTAACGCCGCACTCAGCAATATTCCAGCTGTATGATGGTCTGTAAATAATCGAATCTGGACCAGACATTCCAGTGATTGATATCATGAGCATCGATCTACGCAATTGGGGTACGATGACATGCATCAACCAAATCTGACTACCCGAACCTGTGCCTATAGAAAGGGTGTTGTCGGTCTTATTTTATTCACAAGAAGCGGATTGTCGTTTGTAATAGTTGGATTATATTCAGAATCTGTGAAAATGTTTAATTATATATACGGACAAGAAAGATAATGATTCTATAACGGGAAGTGTGTTTTTGTCAGCATATTTTGTCAGGACATGACCCCCGAAAATAATCACAACTGTTATTTGTTAATGTTGGGAACTTTTCCTACACGAAATACTGTGGCTTGTTTTGTTGCTTTTCTCCACAATCCATCATGGATCATACGCCAATCCAATTCCATAATTTATGCTGTGCCAACTTTTGTAAGTTTCACTATCACATGCGAATAATTGAAAATTTCTATTAACAATCACACTTTTCTAGAAACGCACTTATAATCATATATTTAGGACAGCGTTGTATAAATGAAGAGAGTTTTGACTTTTTTTTATACTTTCAATGCCGTAAGTTTTTCGGCAAAGCGTTAATCGCCTGTTCAAGTACATGTGATAATTCCTTTAAAAAATAAAATTAAAAAAAGTGTATTCAGCATGCTTGTGTCAACGACCTCGATGATACTACAGGTTAAAAAAAGTCACGAGAAAATGTTTTTATGTTATGCATATTTTTACCGTCACTATACTCATGTTTTACGTTTATAACTGACATTCAAATGCCTTAGATGTCGCCGTCGAGAGTCCCCACTTAAAATTGACGACTTCTTGCCCATAAAAATGGAAAACAAACGGGATAAAACTGTAAACCATGAAATTATTGCGTAAAATACGAGGGCTTCGTTTAAATAAAAGTTTCTTGGCAACCATGTCAAATAATTTCAGAATCAATTGAGTGAATTGGGTTTTGACGCCGCTTTTAACGATATTCCAGTTAAATACGGCGTGTCGGCTTAATGTGGGAATGATGCCGATCTCAGACGTTTACCACGTTGGTGTAACCCACGAGCACGTAGTACTGACAAACCCAAACCTAGAAACATAACCGGGGCATACCGGGATTCGAACCCACAATAATAGGTTTCTGGCGTTCTCAAGTAACTCTACACAGCGAAAAGCGGCGCCTCGGAAGATGTGGCTCATCCACCCACTGAAAATGTACTACAACATATATATGAATATATGTATGTTGTAGTAGTACATTTTCATATATACATATATCTACATGTTGTACATTTTCATATATATATTATATGTTGTAGTACATTTTCGTAAATATATTTGTTCTAGTACATTTTCATATATATATATATATATATAATGTTGTAGTACATTTTCAGTGGGTGGGTGAGCCATGTCGTCCGGGGCGAAGCTTTTCGCTGTGATATATACTGAGTCAAATTAAAAACTTCACATTTTTAAAAGTAATCCCATATATTCTATTCAAAAGAAGTTAAGGATCACCCGATTCTTTCATATTGGTAAAGTTAATCTGTCATGGCATGAGAGATTAACTATTGTAATATGAAAGAATCAGGTGATCCTTAACTTCTTTTGCAATTGAGTAGTATATGATATACAACGGACAAATGTATTTTGGATGGATGGATGGATTTTAATTAACGGTGGTAACCATAATTTGTTCCAAGCACCTACGGTATTCGGTAATAACATCAACAGTTTAAATCATACGTCCCAAGCACGAGAATCTGATGGCACACAAGTTCAGTAGCGTGTATGGCCACCATGTGCGTTGACAACTGCAAACACAACGCCTCCGCATGGACCTTGTGATGCTTGGGAACACATGATTGGGAAGACGACGCCATTGTTGCTGCAAAATGGTGCCAAGATCTTGCAAATTCTGTGGTTGGTTCTGGAGAGTGCGCAGACTTCTGCCAAGAGCATCCCAGACATGTTCGATGGGATTTAGGTCGGGAGACCTTGACGGCCAGTCCATGACGTTGACTCCCGCATTCTGAAGGAAATTCCTTGGGGTCTGGCATTGTCGTGCTGGAAGATCAAACCGGTCAATGTGCTGCCATAAAAGGCAGAAGTTCTGGTGCCAGTACCTGGTCGCGGTAAGCAGCAGCGTTGAGGTTGCCACGGATGACAAGATGCCTGGAACCTGCATTGCCACAGAAAGCACCCCACACCATGACACTTCCGCCTCGAAATCTGTCAACTTCCTGTACACAACCCTGGGCGTAACGTTCATGACGGCGCCTCCACACCCTCGTCCTACCATCAGCAAATCGAAGATTAAATCGGGATTCATCACTGAAGACGACTTGTTTCCAATTCCTCTGAGTCCATCGTCAGTGTCGCTGTGCCCACAATTGACGTTGACGTCTGTGTAATTGAGTCAGAATCGGCCCGCAGTATGGCCGTCGTGCTTGAAGGTGAGCAGTTCTCAGACGGTTTAAAACAGTTGGCGCACTCAGTCTAGCCCTAAACAGTTCAGTTCTGGTTACGGAGGTGACATAAGACAATCTGACGATCCTCTGCATGTGACGTCACACGTGCTCGACTTGCCTGAGGACGATCAGCGGTGGTACCCGTTTGCTGTAGACGCGTCTGTAAATCATAAACAGTCCGTCGACTACAACCCATCGTCCTAGCGACTTCATCTACGGACGTTCCCGTCTGCAACATGCCGATGACACTTTCACGTTGCACATTTGAAAGGCGTGGCATGACAAATGGCCGTAAAGACTTTTGTTTTCTTGTGTTTTTCTTTTTTTGTTAATGTCTGCTAACAAGTATGGCTGAAAACACGTGCCGTATTATGGCCACGTGACCAGTTGCAAACCACTTTTGCCACTGTAGTGCTGTGCACATGATTTTGATCGATTCACCTGCACAAAAACGGGTGTTATCTGAAGACAATACGTGGCCATTACTGTTTAAATACACAATATGGGCCCACAATGATAACTGGTCAAAATGTTAAAATTTTAGGATTGTGAAGTTTTTAATTTGGTTCAGTATATATTGAACAAAGGATTATTAAATGTTCATTACTACATGTAAATGATTTACGATTTTTTATATGATATGTATAATGTACATCTAAAACCGCTTTTGCGTTTTTGCAAAATATATATATATAGTCCATTTTTTATTTAATATCCTAGTCAAAAGCGATTTTAGATGTATATTTTATATATCATATAAAAAATCGTAAATCAGTGAATAATCAACATTTGATAATCGTTTGTTCAAAATTGGCATACCTGATTGTCATTGACCCAGGTTCCATATGGCACACGTTAAACAGTAGAGTTTCAAAGTGAAGGTCATATGTTCTCAGTGTTATGTATGGCCAGCATTAGAGACGAAACGTGACTGGCATGGTCGCCTCATGGATCCCGAATTGTTTGCATGGGAAATGTTCCCCCATTCTGTGAGCAGTGCTTGTGCCAATTGTCGGGGGTTCTGCGGTTGTTGCTGGCGTGTTCGCAGTCGTTGATCCAGTGCATCCCATAAATGTTCGGCTGGATTCAACTCTGGAGACATCGAGGGCCATGGCAAAAGCTGGATATTGTGATTCCCGAAGAAGGCTGGAATCATTCTTGTCGTGAGAGGATGGGCGTTGTCCGGCTTGAAAATGACGTTAGCTTGTTGCATAATGGCTGGTTGACGTGTGACCGAATAATCTCATCCGTGTATCGTTGTGCCGTTAAATTCCCCAGAACTTGCACCAAGTCTGTTCTATCAGTCTCCGGAGAGACTGCCCACATCTTCACACTACCAACATTGTTTAGTAATTTACCATGCATACAGGCCAACGATACGTATTTGTCTTTGAAAGGACCTAGGGGCGGTCGTGTACCCTTGTGGTTAAAGCGTTCGCTCGTCACACCGTAGACCCGGGTTCGATTTCACGACATGGTTACAATGTGTAAAACTCATTTCTGGTGTCCCCCGCCCTCATATTCCTCCAATATTGCAAAAGGCGGTATGAAACAAAACTCACTCACTATCTCTATCTTTGAAGGGATCAAGGACAAAAACAAACCATATGGCAGCGGTGGGATTCGAACCCACGCCTCCGGAGAGACTGGTGCCTAAAAACAGCGCCTTAGACCACTCGGCCACGCTACCTACATGCTAAATGTTTCATAAAACAACGTCTCACCCTTCACACTTTTCCTTAAAAGGCATATTTAAGAGTATACCGTCTTTGATCATCCATCCCTCTCAGACGACCGATTAGCTCAGTTAGTTGCTAATAAGGCGGATGTCGTGGATACGATCCCCATGTCAACCACGTATATGTTTTGTTTTCTTTGACGATTTCGATTTTTATTTTCAGTTATGACCAACGACTCCCTATAGTCAAAAAAGGAGTGGAAAAAACATTTGCAAAGCGACATGCATAAGGAACCCTTTCACTTTCTGGTAATCCTTGGCAAGAAGGCACAGGTATTTTAGTTAACCTCACAGAGGTCTTGTCTATCTTTGAAGGGATCAAGGACATAACAAACCATATGGCAGCGGTGGCATTCGAACCC